GGATTATGTGACTCAATAGCTTTTGCAGAGTCATTTGTCTGGTTGATACATATGTTGGAATTTGGATATCTGGCCGATGACTATTCACCTATCCAGACGTCCAGCTGTCTAAGAACGAGTCAGTTGGATATGTGACTCAATAGCTTTTGCAGAGTCATTTGTCTGGTTGATACATATGTTGGAATTTGGATATCTGGCCGATGACTATTCACCTATCCAGACGTCCAGCTGTCTAAGAACGAGTCAGTTGGATATGTGACTCAGTAGCTTTTGCTGAGTCATTTGTCTGGTTGATACATATGTTGGAATTTGGATATCTGGCCGATGGCTATTCATCTATTCAGATATCCAGCTGGCTGATTAAGATACGGCTGGATTTCTGACTCATGCAAGGACTTGTACACCAGAAATCCAGTAGCTTCATTTTTTTTAATCAATTGGGCACCTACATAATGTCTCAGCAGGCATTTAGGGCTATAGATTAACAAGCTGGATACCTCTGTTTTATACTTCCTGGATATCTTAGTGGTGATATACATACTAGATGTTCATCTGTAGACTCCAGGATATCCTGCTGCTCCTTATCTACTGTATCAGATATCCAGGGTCTGGTGCCCTGTTTTCTATATTTACTAATATAACACAATAAAATCATGGTATATTGCATCCATACTTAACTAACTAGATATGTTACAGTAATGTATTCCATAGGTTCAACTGCAGTAATTGAGTGATCACAATTATTATCACTACCTGCTGTACCTTGGATTTTATCCCTAGATTTTACATGATAAAGTTCTGCACATTGTTGTCTGTCAACAACAATTTGAGGATATCCAAGCCCCCATGATGTGTTCCAGTTCTATTATGGTGTGCCAATTACTTATACAAAGTGACCACTAAGATCTAGATATTTGGCACAATGGTAATACATGTGTGAACATTACTTGTTAAATAAAAGCTACAAACCCACTCTCTGTCAATTGCATCAGTGAGAGGCCTGCCAACAATATATATATCAGTGTATGTGTCTGAAAATCACCTTGGAAGAATATCAGAAATGTCTGTCTGTGTTCATATATTTCAGCTCTACACAAAGGTTATTGATGTTGATCATGCTTGTAGCTCAAACAAACGGGTGCTATCCCAAGTCTCTAACAGTGTAGAAGCTAAAATGAAGCTTCCAGACTACCCATACAGTGCTCGGATAAAGGCCTTTTTATGCTATACCAACCCCAGACACCCTGTGACCTGTCACAAACTTGGCACTGGCAAGATATCCAGTACCGAGTGAGCCAGATGGGCCCAGGCTACCAAGATATCTTGACGACTGACAAGTCAGATGACTGGTGTCATACCCCACATGTACCGGACATGTGGGGAGAGAGACCCTACCTACCAGATAACTGTACCATCAAACCCCCTCACAGGCCCAATTAATTGGTGGGAGGAATTATCCCTAAGAGGCCCGAGATATGGGGTGACTGAAGTGACTGCACATAGAAAACATTTCAATTAATGGTTAAGAAACCCCTAGAATGCTGTAACTCATACCTTCATATTGCGGATGAGTCCCGCTTCAATATTTCAATAGGCTCGCAGGTCCAGATCGACGCGTGACCACGGTCCACTTGGCTGCACTTGGCTGATCAGGGGCTATTATCCCAGGGCACGTCGTGTTGGGCGCGGGACATACTTCCTTATGTTTTAGGTCAAAAATTATACGGACGCCGGGTGTAAAGGTTGTGAAGGGATCGCAGAAGGCATCCGTCGCGAGCGTTGGCGATCTGTGCGCAGCGTCGAGATAGGGGCATGTTATGGCTGTGCCTCTGGGTCACACGTGTCGCGTCGCGCACGCGCGTTTTCCAGTTTGCTTTCAACCCCCTCCATCCGCAGACTCTCGTTTCAGACACAAAGTGTCATGCAGGTTTCCGAAGAATTTTCCAAAGACTCCTTCAAAATACCTCCACCTTCAATTCCCGAGCCACGTCCGCAAGGCGAAGTTATAAAGACCAGATTTCTAGCTCCCAGCGAAGTTGTGGACAATCACCTGTTCAAAGTGAGCGTCGTCTTCGAGGAGGGCACGCTCAGCTACTATGGGGGTGTCGCACTGGAGGTATGGACCCCGACTTCTGTCAGTTTAGAGACGATGGAATGTTATGTCCGTCACTGCGACGACGAAAAACCCATACCCGTTGGTGACCGCATTTCTCAACGATGTTCAGTTCTGAGAAGATATCGTTTTAGGAAGTTTGGGCTCCCAAGAATGACGACCGGTTCATGTACAAAGCGGAACAGAAGACTCGTCTTGCGCTCTTGAGCGACCTAACTTCACAACCTCAAGAACTCCACTTGAATCCGCCGCCGCCTGGAGATGCCTCAGGTCTACCGATGTGCAAAGTGGCGCTTCTTGTTGAGAACATAAGCACGCGACACGACTTACTTGCTAGGGTTTCAATTCTTGATCCCGAGTCGCCACCCCTTTCCAGCAGGCAGTTGGTGTGGCGATACGATCACCCTCTTACTCTTGCTTCGAGATCAATGACGGTCTACCTGCAGAGTGATTTTCCGCTTCGCGTTGATGGCGAAGGCGGACTTGAAACCTTCTTATACACCGTCATCCCTCCCCCGTCAGAACGGCGTTCGCCTCCTGCCCTGCCAATAGAGATCTTGGACGCCATAATCGGCGAGACCGAGCCTCGGAATACCCTTGTCTCGACGTATCTGCCATGGAGACGGCAAGTAATACAGTACGGGATGGTCAACCATGCGTGGCATTGCGCAGCTTTACCACATGCACTTCGAATCGTCTTCTCTTGGGATTTCACCGCGGAACGCATGGAGAAGCTTGCCAGCCTGTTCGACGTACAGCCAACCTATGCATCATACGTCAAGTACTTGGAGATTCATCAGGAACTTGGCCGCTGTGTTGGAATTCACGCGGGAACATACGCTCGGGCTGCCATCAGTATTCTGAAAGCCTCAGCAAAGTGGCTCACGTTGGTGGAAATTAGGGCATGGTGCTGGGGGGACCCTTCTGCTATCTATGAGCCACTGAAGGACTGCAGTGTCCTTCAGGTACTCCGTTTCGACAACGACCATCGCTTTTCTAACAAAAAAGAGTACCACAAGCACAAACTATCTGACGTTCTCAAACTCGCTCGGCCACTGCGGTCTCTCAAGAATTTCACATGTAAAAGATTGCTAACGGACGACACGAGCGCATTGGAAGACACGCTGCCCCTGCATTGCTCCCTCAGTGACGTTGAACTTGTGGATCTCAAGCTAGGGTCATTTCCGCTCCACAGCATCTTGCAACACTCGGCTCGTTCTCTGCGAGGTGTCTCTCTCACTTTCATAACAATCAGCAACGCCGTGCTACGTGCGTGGCTGGACGAGTGCGGACCCTATCTAGAGTATCTTTGCATTCATGACTGCCGCATTGACCCCGCTGGTACGAAGTCAGAGGAATGGGCCGTGGATGCCACGGTCGCCAGGATGGATAAACTACAACGTCTAATCGTACGCGGTGAAGGTGCCAGCCTCCGCGTCCTGACGCGGAAGCCAGTCCCCGAGGTCAGTAACAATGGCGGCTCAAAACAAGATAGCGGCAACGGCACCTCGGACAACGATGACAATGCAGACGACTCTACCGGTGAAAGGAGCAAGTCGCTAGGACCTGTACAGCTGCCTTGCATCACCCTTAGCATTCCAATCGATGGTAGGACTGACAAGGAGGTGATTCTACAGGCTCTGTGCACAACTGGATGGCATACCATTAGAATCGATATGTCGGAGTGCATTTTCATCTTTAGGCGGGATGAGGCTGAGGTTGAGGCGATAGGAAAAGAGCGAGGTATATCTGTACTCTTCGGCGACTACGGCCCCGCGAGGTCTCAATTCGTTCAAAGACCTCGTTATTACCTGTCCTGGGCACACTAGTCCAAGTAAATTGCGCGTTGGGTTTCTGCCAGATTCAGATGTATTCAGCTTTTCCTCCATATATATCGCTGGATTAGTCGCCTGTCACACGATCATTAAGCAGGTTTGAACTTCAACTTCGAAAGTCGACTATGTTGATGCTGATATGTCAGAAATAGTTGCTGCGGCAACTCATTGTGATATGTAGTGGATGGCGACAGAGAACTGAATTCAAACGGACGGCGTACTAAGCACCGTTGGAAGTCAAAATAAGTATAAGACCCATAGCTTGCTTGCTGCAAACATTCCACGTGTGGACTTTCCGCTCTTCTTCGGGGTTCCTATTATCCTTTAAGAACATCGCGGTATCGACACGAATATCTACAGCGCGAGCACGGGAAAAATCTATATATATGGCGTTCCACTTGTGGATGCACCCGTGCATACTGCATAGTGCCGTAGTATATGCGGGGGCACGAACAAGGTTGGCCGTGCGCAAGTCCCCATGAAAGAGAGGCCCTAGAGAGGATCCTCGAGTATCGCATGGACGTCGTCTCTATGCGAGTAAGCACCGTACAGGGTTGGACACTTGATAGTTGACAGCGTTATCGGATAGGTAGCACATACTGCGTGGCCGGATTCCAACGGTCTTCTTCCGAGTATATTCCACTGGCGACATAGATCTTACATGTGCGACTTTGCACGTTATTGTCATCCCATGTCAATATCGAATCCTCCATATATCACATTCCCTCAAATACCAAATCAACACCAACACACACTGCATCCATCATACAATATAAAAGTCTGAGGCAAGCTCGAGAGAAAGAAACCGAGGGAGAGTCAAATACTCTATAGATAGATAGATAGATAGACAGGCAGGCAAGCAGAGTGTAAAGAGCTACAACATGCGATAACGATGCAATATATAATCCGATTATGACGTGGCGGAAACACATTTACTCTGAAAATCTTCTGACGCGCAAGAGAATGTCGGTGGTACGCCCACGGAAGCGTGGCCAGGGTGGGCTGAGATAAGGAGATATAACGAGGCGGGTGATAGGAAAGAGGAGGACGGGGCGGGACCATGCGTACAGGTGCAGATGGAAAGCGATAAGGGGGACGCATGCGAGGGATGAATCAATGAGAGGTAGCGCAGAAAAGAAGCGGATGGTATCAGTATAGACTAGCGTCGGTCCAGGCGACAGGGGTATTCGAGAGGGAGAGAGTCAAGCACACGTGGCGATACATAGAATAAGAACAACACAGCAGGAACAGTTTCAATGTCAAGCGGGGACAAGGTCATTGTCGAGGATCAAACGGAACGCGAGAAACAACACGGTTGGGAAACCAGAGTTACCGCATAGATCGCAGCTCGACGGGACGCCCCTGGTGGTGCCCGTGCCCATACCCACTCCCACTCCCACTCCCATGTCCATGTTCACTCGAGCTGCTATTCGCAGGGAAGAACGCCGCGCCCGACGACGGACTCGGCGTCATCCCCGAGTCAGGATACGCCGTGCGCGCCGTGGGAATGTTCAAGCCAGGCGCATGCGCGTTGAACGAGGTGCCGCCATGGAACGGGTTGCCGGCATTATACGGGCTGCCGCCCTTCTCGAGCGCGCTCGTGTACGCGCGCGGCCCCGAGGAGGACGACGACGAGCCGGCGCTGGGAGGCGGAGAGCTGCCTAGGGAGTCTGACGGTGCGCGCGCGGCGGCTTCGGTAGCGAGCGTGGGGTCGCCGATGCCTGCGCGGGTGCCCCAGCCGGTCTGTTTGACAAGGGTCAGACCAGGCCCAGAGAGCAAGGAGAGTGATGGAAGGGGAGGAACGTACTTCGTGCAGCGTGAGGAGCGCGTATATTTTCATGATCGAGAAGTAGTACCCGAAGAGGATGAACGCGGGTACGTATATGATGTGTTCGGGTGTGTGCCAGAGGTGCGGGAGGAGTTTGGCTGTTCGTGTGGCCATAAGCCAGACAAAGTACGAGACGATGACATTCCTAGACTTCCTTGAGAACCTGCGATCGAGCATGCGAAAGGGAAAAGGGTGGCTCACCACCAGGGGAGATGGTATCCGCCTTCTGCAACGGAAACTGTACTCTTGTACACGAGATAGGAGACGAGGCAGGGGCCGACGAGGAGCGTAAACGGGTTAAACAGTTTGTCGACCTACACCCACAATCGTCAGTCAAATGCCCATAAGCCGGGTGGACCAGAACACGCACCATCGTATACGCAACATACGGATGCGCCGTCCAGATATGCCTCTCCATGAACAGCGAGCGCAGATCCGAACGCCACGTATTCCGCGTCCACCTCAGCACCTGCTTCAAAAACCGCCAATTCGGCTTCATCGTGCTCAGCAGCTCCGCCTCCTTGCAGCACTGCACGTACGTGCTCCACCCGTGGCTGACCATCCACCTCGTCAGGAACTTGTCGTCCCCGGAGTTGAGCTGATACTTCCCCAGCCAATAATCATGCGTGAAGCCATGTATAAACTCGGGGTCCTTGAGAATGACCGTGCGGTACGCGGCCGTGCGGCCCGACAAACACGGAATCCCGCCGTCGATGTGCGTCGAGCTCGCGATCTCGATGTTGCGGATCGTGAGGCGGAACGCAGCGAGGACCTCCCACACCGTCATGCGCTTCCCGGTCGGCTGCACGCGCTGCGACGTGCCGACGCCGCCGACCTTCTGGTCCTCGAAGCACGCGAGAATGTAGGGCAGCATCGTCGGCGGCCAGAGCGCGTCGTCGTCCGCGAACACGATGATGTCCGTGTTCGCGTGCTTGATGCCGTGCGCCATCTGCAGCCGCTTGTTCGCGAACGGGACGGTGAGCACGCGGATCTTGGCGGGGTCGACCGAGTCCGCGAGCGCTTGGAGGGGAGCGCGCATCTTGTCCTCGGTGATGATGAGGATCTCTTTCGGGCTGCCCTTGAGCCACGAGTGCGCGGCCTCCTTGAACTCGTCGCCCGCGTCGATGGTCGGCACGATGATGGTGACGTCTTCCGACGCGACGTACGTCGGGTTCTCCGGGAGCGGTACGGGCTGGTAGGTGAAGGAGGCGATGATGCGGATGATGTACCATAGGTAGCGGTAGAACCTTGGCGGGTTGGCGCGTCAGTACAGTACATGCATGCACGCCGAGTGTATCAGCGACAGAGTGAGAGGAGCATGTGCTCACCCGATGACACCAAATGGTACGACTGTTCCATGTCAACCGTCAGTCAGCGCTGCAGAAAGTCAAGGGAAACGCGAAGCTTACAGATAGGAAAGTTGTCCGAGGTGAGGTAGAGCATGCTGGCCACCTCCTACCACGCCCGGTTCGTCAAGAGTCGTCACAAGCGTCAAGTCAAGAGTCAAGTGAAAGGGGAGGACAAGAGGGCGGAGTCGACCTGGCAGACCCACGGAAGAGAAGAACGAGCAGAAGAAGGGGAACAAAACACATCCTTGACGTCAGAATACAGAACCAGACCGCAGCACAACATTCGCGACGCACCTCAGAAACCAGACCAGACCAGCCGCGTTTGAGACAGCACCACCACACGAATTTGAAAAGGAATGGAATGAGTGACGCACTTAGGAGTGCAGACCCGTGTGCAATAATAATGGACAATGAACGAGAAGGGTCGAAGCGCGCAAAACAGAATCGAAACCAATCACGGAACACACTGAACGCAAAAGTGACGGAAGAGGGGCAGGCGAGGTACGTCCGTCGTCGTCAGGGAATGCTTGATGCGGCCCAAAATAACGTCTCCGAGTCCGAAAGGCCAGCGTTTCAACGTTCGTGACGACGGCGACGATGGCCGCAAGAGGGAACGGACGAACAGGGGGGCAGGGAAATGAAAAGGCGCATTCTGATGTTGCATCAAGACGGAGACTTTTGAGCACAAGAGTGCGCAGCCCATTCCCGGGCAATCGAAAACGATGGTTGGTCTCATCTCTCGATCCTCCTCAACACTCACATCCTCCGACGGCCCATCTCCCATAAATAGAAGGTCCATCATAGGGCCAGCCGGCGCTGCCGCCGGTCCGTCGGCCCAAGACGTCCTTGGCTGACAGCGGGTGTGCCTGCAAACAGTCCTCGACAAGCATGCATCGCAAGTTCCAAACTTTAAACCTTGCTTTATTGTTTACAGAAATGCGGATAGCGACACAGCGACAGGAGGGATACACTACTATTGACTTGAGTTGGAACGGAATGGATGGAATAGAATGGAATGGGGTGGGGAGGATGGAGAGATTACAAGCTGTAAACATTCAGAGAGGGTCCGTATAGTGTCGTGTGGCAGGGATAGAAAAGGAAAAGAAAACGTGTCGTCATGCGTAAGAGACATGCCCAGCGAGGAACAAAACCCTCGAGTCAACCAGAATCAATAAACCACCGTTCGAGCTCGCTCACACAATCTCGAGCGTTCCAAGCCGCCCGAGGTACGTGCACGAGTGCGCTTAGTCGAAGCCCTCGACGGGGACGTTCCACTTCCACCGCCCCTCCTGGAAGCCCGTGGCCGTGTCCTCGAGCATGATCTCGTTCCGCTTCGACACGTACACCGTCCGGTCCGTCACCTTCTGCCGCAGCATCGAGATCGCCTCCGGGTCGATCGGCGACTCGAGCAGCTCCGACAGATCTTCAACCGCCCGCTCCAGGTCCCTATCCACCACAACATACAACGTATAAGCAAACACAGGCAAAGACGCAAAAGGGAGAGGGGGGACGCACCGCTGGTTATCTTCGAACAGCTCCTTCTCGTTGCCCTTGTCGAGATAATACGCCATCGCATACGTCCACTTGAGCGTCATCCGGCACTTCTCGACCTCGTCCACGGCCTTGCGCATGAACTGCACCTCGATCCACGTCAGCTCCGACGTGAGCTGCATCTCCTCCATCTTCTTCTCCGTCTTGCTGTACAGCTCCACCGACAGCTTCGCAGACTGCTCGTGGTTCGCCCACCGGTTGTAGTACTACATGAAGTTGGGCACAGTTTAGCCAGACATAAAGGAAATTTAAGCCTTGAAACATACATGAAGATAGCGCTCCAGCGAGGCGCGGCTCTTGGATTGAGCGTCGCGCGCATCGACGCCCGCCTTCTCGTCGTATCTGTTGCACGAGTACCACGCGCTGCCGTGTTCCGACCACGGGCCCATGCACACCCAGCAGAACTCATGCTTGCACTTTTTGCACGTCATGTGACTAAACGCGCATACAGTCAGCCACCACCTCTTAACCACGACACACCAAAGAAAGACGCACTTGCACCCCCCGTTCTTCTCGATCGTGCTCTGGCACTTGCTGCACTCCTTCGTGTTGCTCTTGATCCAGTTCGCCGTCTCGCTGTCGTCCTCGCACTTCTGCAGCCACATCCGCGCCACGGGACAAATCACCGGCCGATGATCGCTCTCGATCGCACACCCAAAGCAGAACTTATGCGCCGGCGTCGCGTTCGCACCGCACGTCACCGTCGGCACCATCGAGATCAAGCTCGACTTGGTGCTCGCGGCGGGGCACGAGACGGTATACGTGCACGACGGATACGGGCAGTACTTGAGGCTCGCCGTCGACGCGACAAAGTGGCGCAGCTGCAGCTCCTCGTAGCGCTCGCGCGTGCCCTTGTCCTCCGAGGGCGCCGGGAGAGCGTCGCGCAGGACAAAGGTGCGCGGCGCGACGAGCGCGCAGCCCTCGGCCATGCACCGGATCGCGTGCTCGCCCTCCTCGCGGATTTTACCGGTCACGTAGGCGTTCCAGCACTCGGCGCAGAACTGGTGCTCGCACGAGAGGGAGAGGAAGCGGGTTTGCGAGTCGTCGAAGCAGATCGGGCACACGAATCGTTCCTGTTTAGCTAGAGCGGGTGTGAGGACGGCGTCGTTCGATGATGGAGAGGACGGCGGGAGGGATCTCGCACCTGGGGTCTGCTGGCGCGCAGGGCGCCGGGTGGCGGCGGACGAGCGGGTGCTGGAACCCTGATAACGAATCGGGGCGGCCGATGAGGACGGGGAGGCCCGTGAGGGGAGAGATATACCGGCAGCGACGGACACCGCGCTTGCGTTATCCATGTACTTCTCGATCAGCCGCTCCTTGTTCCAAGCGAGGTGGTGCAGGAGCAGCTCAGCCGTGTTAGCCTGAAGGAAGAAACGCCCGCAGACGTCATGTCAGTGCTTATCCATATGCTGAGTAAGCGCGCTCGAGGCGCGGAGAGGGCAAGGGCGAGGTTGAAGTGAAAGAAAAGAAAGACAGAGACGTACGTCAACGCCAAATATGCCGGCAATGTGATCGACATCGGCGGCCATGAGCTTCTTGACGGCGTCGTGTGAGAGCGAGTCGTGGTCGACCTCGTAGGACTTGCGCTTCTCGCGGGGTGGCACCTTGAAGTCGTCGCCAAAGGTGTCCATCGCCATGTCGTCGTCGGAAGATGCTGCTGAGCCTGTCAGGTTGATCGTCGTGCATGAGCCACTTATCGGAGACAAGAACAAGGGCGGATGCGGGACTGACCATCCTGTGGGCTGAGCATGTCTTCATCGTCGTCGTCGTAGAGATATTCGTCATCGGAGTACTCGTAGTCGGACGACATGATGTTCTAATTGCTATTCGTAAGTGTATGTGGTGAGTGTGAAAGGTGTGGATCGATGCGGGCGTGTCTCGTGTCAGGCAGGCAACAGGGAGAGTGCAGCAGCGCGTAATAAGGCAGTCCGCACCGCAAGAGCGGAGTTGCCCTGGCAGCCCGTGAGAAATTAATTAGAACTCCGCTGGTGGGCCGCGGCAACAGGCGCCTATAATGAGAAGGGGAAGGAGCGTGACTTTGACTCGATGAGGAAACCAATCGATTGCACTCCAAAATAAAAAGATTGGATGCGAGTCCCCGTCTCGCTGATTAGATCCCTTCGGCCCACAGCCAGATACCGCTCTGGTCATCTCTCTCGACCTCCACTCCTCTTCCTACCAACACGCACAATGGCGACAGAAGGCACCAGCGCGGGCTCCCACAAGGACCCCCTCACGGGCGAGATGATTTCCAAGACGTGAGTTCCATTCTTTCACAGCATGCTGGCACGCGTCTAATGAGTCATTCCACGCGATAGCGAGCTCAAGCGCCGCGTAGCAGCCCGCGAACGTGAGGCCAAGAAGGCTGCGAAGGCTGCTGCCCAACCGCAGGGCAATGCACCCGCTGCCGCTGCAGGACCGAAGGAGGATGAGCTCAACCCCAACGTGAGTCATACCGTGTCAATTGGTCGGATACAACCTCCATTCCAATGTTTTGCTTCGTGTATGCGCGTGCTGACGCTGGTATGCTAGCAATACTTCGAGCTTCGGTCGCGGACTATCCAGAAGCTGCGCGAGACTCAGTCGCCAAATCCCTATCCCCACAAGTTCGATGTCACCATGTCTATCACCAAGTTCATTGAGACGTACGGTGTCGAAGGCAAGATTCAGAACGGCAAGAAGCTCGAGGACGTCAAGGTGCAGCTCGCGGGACGCATCCACAATGTTCGCCAGAGTGGTCAGAAGCTTCGCTTCTATGACCTTCACGGAGAGGGGACAAAGTTGCAGATTCTCGCTAACCTGAAGTGCGTCTTAGCAAATGCTCTTTTTCTCCGCTCTTGTACTAACTTATATGCGCGACTTTCTAGGGATGCCGAGAACCAGGACGAGTTCGTCTCAACACACGACCTCTTCCGCCGCGGCGACATCGTCGGCGTCGTCGGCTCCCCCTCGCGCAGCCAAAAGGGCGAGCTCTCCATCTCACCTTCCCAGATGATCCTCCTCTCCCCCAACCTGCACCAGCTGCCCTCGGGTCACTTCGGGCTCAAGGACCAAGAAACCCGCTACCGCAAGCGCTACCTCGACCTCATCATCTCAGAGGACACACGGCGCATCTTCATCACCCGCTCGCGCGTGATCAACTACGTTCGGCGCTTCCTCGACAACCTCGGCTTCCTCGAGGTCGAGACGCCCATGACGAGCATGATCGCTGGAGGCGCGACGGCGAAGCCGTTCGTGACGCACCATAACGATCTCGATTTGGACCTGTACCTCCGCATCGCGCCCGAGCTCTACCTCAAGCAGCTCGTCGTCGGTGGGCTCGACCGCGTGTACGAGATTGGACGCGTGTTCCGCAATGAGGGCATCGACTTGACGCACAACCCCGAGTTCACGATCTGCGAGTTCTACATGGCGTACGCGGACATGTACGATCTGATGGACCTCACGGAGAGCCTGGTCGAGGGCATGGTCAAGTACCTCACGGGCGGCAAGACGACGCTGACGTACCACCCCGAGGGCAAGGAGAGTAGTAAGGTGTACGAGATGGACTTCAAGACGCCTTGGAAGCGGTACGATATGATCGGCACGCTCGAGGAGAAGCTGGGTGTCAAGTTCCCGCCTGGCGAGACGCTCCATACGGACGAGGCGAACAAGTTCTTGCGCGCACTGTGTACCAAGGTAGGCTGCCATCATGGATCTAGCCGTATTCTCGGGCTGACACGATCTGTCGCTAGCACAACGTGGATTGTAGTGAGCCCCGGACGAACGCGCGGTTGCTTGATAAGGTGCATTCTTTTTTGTCTGGTCTCAGTTCAGCGTGACAACGCGCTGATCCGCGTCATACACCTGCAGCTCGTCGGAGAATACATTGAGCCTCTTTGCATCTCCCCCGCTTTCATCGGTAAGCAACCTTCGTGCTTAGTTGCATCCCGGCATTCGACTGAACTCACGTCTTTATTCAGTCGGCCACCCGCAGGTCATGTCGCCCCTCGCTAAGTGGCATCGCTCGCGGCCCGGGTTGTGCGAGCGCTTCGAGGGCTTCATGTGCGGAAAGGAGTTCTGCAACGCTTACACCGAGTTGAACGATCCGTTTGAGCAGCGGCTGCGCTTTGAGGAGCAGGTGCGTACTCAGAAGCTGGGATAAATGTGGACCTTGTCACTTATACCCCGCTGTTTGCGATATCCAGATGCACCAGAAGGAACAGGGCGACGACGAGGCGCAGGGGATCGACGAGACGTTCGTGGATGCGTGCGTGCCCCTTTTCCCTATATACCTGATGGTTTGACTGATGCCGTGTGTGCTGCCTCCGCGTGTAGCCTCGAGCACGGCCTGCCACCCACAGGCGGCTGGGGCATCGGCATCGACCGGCTGGTCATGTTCCTGACGGACTCGCAGAACATCAAGGAAGTGCTCCTGTTCCCCGCGATGAAGCCCGTCGAGACCGCGGTCAACACGTCGGGCGCGGCGCCTGGGCCCGCGGGGCAGGTCTGAGATGCGGCCACGCTTTTGGAAGGGCAAAAGTAGACATCGCATACGGTAGATTATATCTTGTTGGTTTTTTGAGATTAATGATGGGAGGCGCTGTTCTTGCTCTCGTGCTTGTGTTCTGAGCGCTCTCTGTGCTGTGTACCACTGAGTGATCCGTCCGTTCGCAGTCGGCTTGTGCAGGCTCTGTGCGTTCCTATCGCCCCCGGAGCCCCAAACTTGGAGATGTCGATGGATCTCGAATCTCGATAGCGTTTGTACACTTCGCAGGTGCGGGTGAGCTCTGGACTGGGGCTGGGCCAGGCCCTAGGAACGCCGGTACCGCTGCGTGGCGATTCAACCGTTGCGGTTCAACATTCAACGAGAACGGGGTCGTCTTAGCAATCCTGAAGGCCATATCTATCATGTGCTATAAATTCGCGTGCGGAATATGCAGATGGTCTGGATCTCTCAGTGTTGTCGTTTCTCGGGACTGCACACATGCACTTCTCAGATGTAGTACGATCAGCGCATGTTGAACGTTGAACGTTGAAACTGAGTGCAAAGCGCTGATCGCCGCGACGGGTCAACTTTGAGCGGTATACATATGTTGCTGTAGATGCCGAGGGTTTACTACAAATTCGAGTCTCGCACTACAAATTCATAGTTCGGAAGTTCGAGGCGTGTAGAAATGCAAGGAAGACGCTCAAAGTTCCGTGCCTGCGGGCGCCAACGGAGCGTCCAATGGGAGCTTGGGGATTACGCATGGAGAGGAGGTATGTCTTTTTATGAATAAAGCCTCTAGACAGTTTCATCTTTTTTTTTTTTTTTTCGGAATTAGCAGCGGCCATCATGAGATTTCTCAAAACTGGCCTTTGATTGACGTGGAACTTGTTCGCCGAAGATTCGGAAGAAGGGATTAAGCTTTTGAGCAGGATTGTTGTATTTTTTTCCCACGTGGTGATCGTTTCTTTCCGTCTGCCAAGTGCTTAGACGTGACGACTGTCAGACAGCATCAAACTGACTCCACAGCCGCTTAGACGTTCTTCTGCTCAGACCCTGCTCAGACCTCTGTTCGCTTGAAACTTGGGAGACTTGGGATGCTGAGCTTATGGTACTCTTTGCTCGAATAAAATAGTCTCGCGAGTTTCTTGCACAGCCTCGATCCGCGGCCTCATGGCGAAGTGTGAAGTTCTTCTCGACGTGTAAATGCTAGTCCCGGTTGGCGCCGAGCCGCCTTCATGGTGCAGATGGCTGTGATCTTGGAGGATCTTGGTCTCGAAGCGACACACCTCCTAGCGTTGTTCAAGTTCTTCTCCGTCACACCATGCGGTACCTTTTGGGTCGCCAGGGGTCACACCTTCCAGGCTGCATCCTTGCACGCCGCGCGCAGCTCTAGTGCGGTATGATCTTGGCCCGCTTGATACCTCTCGGTCCTAGTGGCAGTCAGGCTCGGCCAGGCAGGTGCGGACCTGCGGGGACGGGGTACTTAACCCGTCCGTTATGCACAGCCCGGGTGCTGCCATCCTGATATTAATCTCTCGTTTTTCTTGTGCCCCACCCGCTTCCGACGCGGATATATATTGGCTTTATACTGAGGTGCAGGCCGTTCTGTTCACCCACCTTCCTCTCTTTTTACTCCAAGCGCTACTCTTCGACACCTGCCCACCCGGGTCTTCTCCCTTTGCTTTTGACTGGTGATGCTTGGTAAACTTTTGATCGCGCTCAGCGCGACGGCGCCTGCGCTCGCGCAGAAGGCGGGGTCGTTTGTGGAGGCTGGTAGTACGCAGGTCAGCGCTATGATGGTACGTCTCTCATGCACACCGCAGCAGTGAACGTCCGATGTTGACTGGGGAGCGGTAGATGTTCCTCGGGAACGAGGAGAAGGTGTACATCCTCGACAAGTCTGAGGGCAACGCCGCTCAAATCAACGGCCACCCCGCCTGGGCCTCGGTATGGTGAGCATTTGTTCATATACCTGGTGTAGCAGAACAGCTGGACAAACGGTTGCGCTCCACAGGGACATCAACACGCACCAGACCGAGCTCATGGAGATCTACACCAACTCCTTCTGTGCTTCCGGCATGCACCTCCCCAATGGCTCTTTCGTCACCTTCGGCGGAAACAGCGCTGTCGGCGTCGGCGGCGCAACCAGCACCGACGGTGGTATCCACGACACCGCATACGGCGCCTACGACGGCCGCAAGGCCATCCGCGTCATCAACCCGTGCACAAGCAGCGATGACTTCTCCAGTACCAACTGCCAGTGGTACGACAACCCGTCCGTGCTCTCCATGCAGAAGATGCGGTGGTACTCCGCGGCCGAGGCGCTCCCCAACGGCACGGTCGCCATGATCGGCGGCTTCACGAGCGGCGGATACGTCAACAGGAACACGCCCAACGATGATCCGGCTTACGAGGGCGGAGGCGCGGAGCCGACGTACGAGTTCTATCCAAGCAACGGGCAGACGCCGCAGGTTTTGGATTTCATGGTCAAGACGTCGGGATTGAACTCGTATGCTCACTCGTATTTGATGCCTTCCGGGAAGATGCTCCTCCAGGCCAACCACTCAACCAGTAAGCTGTCTTCCTTTCAAACTGTATATAGTTTTTGACTGACATTACCACAGCCCTCTGGGATTACGAGACCAACGAGGAGACGCCCCTCCCTGACATGCCCAACAACGTCGTCCGCGTATACCCCGCTTCTGGAGCTGCTGCGATGATGCCTCTTACCCCCGAGAACAACTGGACGCCTACTATCCTCTTTTGCGGCGGCAGCGACATGCCCGATGAATACTACGGCAACTACTCCTGGCCTCACTACAACACCTGGACACACCCCGCCTCCAAGGACTGCCAGCAACTCACACCTGAGCCTCAGGACGGCTCCACCCCCAAGTACGTCCAGGACGACTCGCTTCCTCAAGGCCGCACCATGGGTCAGTTTATCACCCTCCCCGATGGCACCATGCTCGTGATCAACGGAGGCGCCAACGGCACCGCCGGCTATGCCAACCGCACGCTCTACACCGAGACGCTCGACGAGATGCCCTTCTACCAGTCGCTCGCGTCCGACCCCGTCGGCCAGCCCGCGATCTACAACCCCAAGGCGCCCGCTGGACAGCGATGGAGCACCGCCGGGCTCGGCTCGAGCAGTATCGCGCGGCTGTACCACTCGACCGCAATCCTCCTGCCCGACGCGTCCGTGCTCATCGCAGGCTCGAACCCGAACATCGACGTCCAGACCGACGGCGTGCCCTACCCGACGCAATACACCGCCGAGATCTTCTACCCGCCCTACTTCTCCGCCTCCGTGCGGCCCTCGGTGTCCGGCGCGCCCACGACGCTCACGTACGGCGGCAAAGCGTTCGACCTCACCGTCGCCAAGGGCTCGTACGCGGGCGGCGCGAACGCGGCCGCGGCGAACACGACGGTCGTCCTCGCGCGCGGCGGGTTCACGACGCACGCGTACAACATGGGCCAGCGCCATCTGCAGCTGAACAGCACGTACAGCGTCAACGCCGACGGCTCGTTCGTCCTGCACGTCGCGCAGGTCCCGCCGAACCCGGCGCTGCTCACGCCCGGCCCCGCGCTGCTGTTCACCGTCGTGAACGGCATCCCGAGCAACGGGACGATGGTCCTCGTCGGCAACGGGCAGATCGCCACGCAGCCGACCGAGGCTGTCGCCGCTCTCCCCGCGAGCCAGACGTCGAGCAACGGCGGGAGCTCCAGCGGTGGCGGCAGCGGCAATGACAACGGCAGCGCATCTTCGGCGGCGATGGCCGGTGGAGCTGTCGTGGCATCTGCGATGGGCATCGTCGCGTTCCTCACGTTCTTGTGATGACCAGACGCTCTTCTGATCTCGTTCCCCCCGCGTTCCTGTGTACGCACGTAGTTTACCTTTAGCTCGCTTTTGACCTCGGACAATGGAATTTCATGAACAAGTCACACCCCCTCTCCTTTCATATCTTACGCTACATGGACGATACCCGTCACTCGGAGCTGGTTTGCGATACCGACATCTCAATACCTGGATCTACAACTCTGTTACATTATATATAATCGGTACAAGATCTCTGCTGTACCCTAGTGTCCAAAAATAACGTCCAAAGCCCAGCAGTCCTAGTCAGCAGTCCATCAGGTGTCCATAGCGTGCTTGTGTCTGTGTTTCAGCAGCCTGCCTGCCTCTTTGGCAAGTTTATAAAAAGTAAAACCACTCTAGGACCGAGAGATGCGTAGGGGCTACTGTATTATGTACATTGCGATACAGAATGTTGGGTGGTCATGAGTCCATGCGAAGCTCGATCGAATACGTAGGAGTAAAAAGAAACAGAGGAAGATTGGATAGCAGCGCCCCTTGGAAGCAAATGCGAGAATACCACATACACATTTTGTGCTGACGGGATAGAAACGAAAGACCGAAATCGCCGTCGCCGACGGACCACCACAAAACTGAACGCCATAGCCGGCAGCTCCCAGAGTCGAAACTAGGCACACCCTACTTACGCAGGACCATGCACTACATGCACCCCGGGGACTAAGCTAAGCGCGAAGGCACGCTCGCAGCTCAGGGCATGCCCATACCGGGCGATGGCGTCAGCGGAGATAGATTCACGAGCATGCTATCCGTCGAGTACCCCGACTCCGAGCGCCCGTGCAAGTACACACTCGGGTGTACACCTAACTCTCCGAGCCCGTACCCCGCGGCGCTCACAGAGCCGGCGCCGGGTACGGTCAGATCCGGCAGAGCCCGGAGGTTCTCGCGCGACAGCTGGCGCATGTGCTGCTGCTGCTGCGAAGGCGCGAGCGAGGAGTTTGAGTACGAGTGCATTAATGGCGGGGACATTGGGAGAGGGCGGGGAGGGGACGTAGGGGTGGGAAGTGGGCGGGGAGTGTGGTGTAAGGCTGGAGGAGAGGCCTGAAGAGCGCGGGGGGCGACGGAAGGAGGGGTCTGGAGGATTGGAAGACAGGCTAGCGAAGAAGAGAACGGCTGAGCTTGAGTCACCGTAGCCTGGGAAGAGAGCGTAGTCTCGCTGCGCGCGCCGTATGGTACGAATGTTTGAACCATTGTATATGGATGGCTAGGAAGTGAAACCATGCTTTGAGCGGCAGAAGGAGGCTGGACGTTGATGTATAGTGACTGAGGGGTTTGTGGCTGCAGCGGGTAGGGATTCTGAGTGTATAGCGGTAGCGCGGTCCGGAACGAAGCCTGACAGAATCCGCTTAGAAAGCGCTGATGTGGTGAAGTGTAAATGGAGCTTACCGAACTAATACTGGATGACCTTCGTTCCGACATTCGAGGGGTGAGAGGCGGAGGAGGTTCAAGGTCTACTTGCTCAAGTGCTCGGGCTCGTGATGGAGCCCGAAGAGAGGACCGAGGAGACGGACGCGGAGATGAACGAGGGGATTCCACCTCGTAAGCATGGTGGGTTGTAGATGGACCGACGGCCATATGAGACAGTGGGCTGGATTCCACGGTTGCGTCCGGGTCACCGATAAAGATAATGCTCTCTACCTCCTCGCCCTCTCCATCGTCGTATTCACTGCTTTCCTGGAGAGCGGAGAGACGGTGCTCCCAGTGAGAGTTGCTTGTGTGCCCACGGCTCTCGATCGGCGAATCATGGCCCGCCTCGGTGGACATGTAATGAGATGTACTCGCATCGGAAGCATCCACGACCCATCGACGATAAGGTTCGGTGGAGACAATTTCGGTAGGGCGAGACCTGAAGATCTGCCACCACTTCCTTGCTGGTGTTTTGGACGTTGACTGTCGCCTTGGAGGTTGATATGGGGAGTAGTCTGTGCTGATCCAGTCTTCGTTGGTGAGGGGCGTTGTCGCGTCACTCGAATACGAACGGTGATGGGGGAAACGGTTGCTTGCCGGCGTCGCGTCGATGGGGCCGAAGTTGGTGACGGGCCGTAGTCCCTGTGGCCCATGGAGCTTCTTCCATAGTATGTCGCGCGTCTGATGAAGATAGGTGTATGAAGGCTGCGTTCGAGCCTTCCGGGAGTAGATATACCAGCCGAAGATCACAGCGAACACGGCAGTAAGAGACACGGCAACGATGATTGGGGTCGCTATCTGCATTTTGCCCCAACCGCTGGAATCGGTGCTAGAGCCATCGTCGCGGCGGAAACGCTGTTCGGAAACCTAGTAGACACGGTTTAGATGAAGTTGCGCCATGAACGAAGGAGACACATACCAAGTTGCCAGATTGCTAAGCGAGCGACAATCTAAGTGAGTATTTCGCGTTTGCCAATGCAAGACGACGCGGACGTACCAAAAATCCTGCTCCATCCTCAGACATTGGCACGAGCATATCCCATGGGCTTGCGAGACGAGGAGACCACCGCTAAATGGCGAAGCGGGATGGCTATGGGTGGTGGTTCGCAGGAAAGGGTCGCTGACTGACAGGGGGGGGATTCCCCGTTCAAGCGCCAGGAGCATTTATTTCAGGAAGGCCGAGATTTTAAAATGCAAGGGCAAGACTTACCCGAATGAAGGGACTGCAACAACATCCGGTCCTTACGACCCGTCCGAATCACCCGGGTTGTCGTCATCTGGCCACTGGGCTGATCTGAGCTCGTCCTTTCTTAGTCATATGCGGGCAAATGTGTCCGATGAACGGTCTGACGCGGTGACCCCCCAAGACGATCCTCTTGAAGGTGTTGCTATGCCCTGGTGTAGATTCGCTCGTGGTGGGCTTGTTTCGAGCTTCGCAGTCGCTTGTTTGCATAACCCCGTGATTCGTTCTGGCGATCATAGCGTGGGTGTGCCTCGAGATATTCCCATCGTCGGCGGAGGGTGTGACCGAGTTATGATGTGATGAGTGTAGCATGTGCCCACGACAGGCCAAGAACTCGGAACGGTGTGGCAGCACCCAAAAGCTTCCGCGGAAAAAGCCGCTATCGCGCGAGCGAGTTTCCTCATTCGGCCCTTCATTTTTGGACTTCAGCTAGAACACCGGGGCATTATGCTACAACCGCTTCATCTTTACTTGCATCTGCTTAGTAGGCCATCAGCCACAGTGCCTACAAGTCAACCTTTCAACGTTAGCTTCCTCAATCTCAGACGAGAGAAAATTCTGTATTTTTCCGAAACCCTTGTGACCATATTGATCTATTTGCATTCCCATAGACCCCCATACTTACTCAGAGTCTTCGGCCCCGCGCCATCAAAATGCTGTAGAACGCGAACAGGCCCGGATCGGTATCCAGCAAAAGAAACGAGGGAGTTTCGGAAGCCTTGGGTGCGTAATTGAAGATGACTCGGGTGCCATCTGGCTATATTCCTCTCAAGGCATTCGCCGACTCGGAGTGGTACTGTACTAACGTTTCCGCATCGGAGCCCTGACATGAACTTCTCCGCCTGGCGAGGTGATGATCAACTTGATCACAGGCACGAACCGTATTTTCTGCAGCCAGCATCAGAATCATGGAGTCGCTTGAGCACTTAGTACATAATTGAACCTGTGTGGATCTGTGTTGCTTGCTCCTTTCAGATAGGTCACCCGTCGGAAGTGCGTTTAGACTCAAAACCAGGCACCATTCGATACTATGCGATGTTCGTGGATCCCAGCTATCGACGACATCGTATCTCAACGTCCTCAGACCACCATACACCACCAGTTATGTTCTTTTTGCAAGTGCAGTTCCCGCAGCAGCTCCTGACTAGTATGACCACGCGCGTCATCGGTCCAACACTCAGGCTGAGACCTGTTCAATCTGCTCCTCGACCACTTCTTTCTTCTCGCTGACGCTGGGCGGGCCTGGCACGATACCTGCAGACACCGCAGTTGACATTGCGATTGCGGCCACAGTATCGTCTCCGTCGAACAGGCTGCATCGTCGACATACCGATCAGCACAGCTTCTCCGTCAACAGCTGCGGAGTGACTTACGCGGCAGTTTCCTCGAGCGTCCGCTAAAAAAAGAAAGGTATGGAGTCAACCTTAAATTGCTGAGAAGGATCTCAGGTTTGAACTCACGTTCTTAGTCTCGACCAAATAGCGATAAAGGAAGCAGATTTCAAAGCACAACCAGAACAGGTAGACCAACTGGATTCATGTGGTTAGAGTCTGGCTTACGAAACGGATGAATCAAACACTTACATAGTATTTCCATCCCAATCTAGAGTTATATGGTTAGAATTTCGCATGTAAATCATGCAGAAGAAACTTACGCGGCGAGAGCGATAGGGTTGACATATCTTCGTGTTCTCCATTTAGCTTTTTATCAGACTCAGAAATGTAGCGACGGCGTACTGGTTGAAGACAATTGTCAAACTAACAACAAAGTTGAAAAGAACAAAGCCTGTGCGTATGTCAGCCTCCGTTCGCAAAGAATAAAAACAATAAAAAACCTTTAGCCCGGAGACTGTAGGGCAGGATTTCGACAGTATACCTGAGGTAATGTGAGTGTACGGTCAATGCGAAGCTAACGTAGACACTTGCGATACGATTAGAGGACTGAAAGACATCTATAGGCGAGAGTAAGTTCATTAGCCCTAGAAAGTAGAAGTGAAACTCACGGTGTCTGGAAAGCACAGTCAAATTGATGTTAGAAAGATCGCCCGGATTACTCACAGAACGTGTTAAACAAGACTGTTCACAGTACATTCAGTCATGCTGCAACGTTATTTCCACTTCTGATAGAATACGCACACATCATAGCGATCAAAGCGTGACCGGCCAGGAGATTGTTGGTCTGAACGTCGACGGCAAATAGCACGGTCTGCAGCATCCAAAAAACGATCATGCCTATAAGAAAGATATCTAGTCGTCAAACATCAATGTCCAGTTCCTATAAGGACGTACCAGACATTGAGGTCAAGAATAGCGTCCGTCTGCCCGCTTTATCACACAGCAAGCCCCCGGTGATTCCGCAGATAAAACTCCAGATGCTCATACCACCGTTCTTGGGATGGGTTAGATTATTCAATGAAATGGCTCGACCACTTACGACTAGCAGCTGAGTGTTGTCATCCGTGACTATTGCGTCGTTTTAGTGGGTTTGAAGCATCATAAAATCGAACAACATACTTCCGATAGCATCAAAGACCTTGTTCAAGTCTAGAACAAAATTCAAATCTTCGCTCTTCGACACGAGAAGCGCAACGCACAATAAGAACTACGGAACACATCAGCTCATACAGCAATCACGAAGTCGCACGAGATTGCCTCACATAAGACCATTCCCAGACCACTGCGAGAAAAACGCCAGGGCAATGATGATACGCAAACGCCTCCTGTTCCCGGGCGTCTGGAACAGGGTGAGCCATCCGACCTTCGCCGCGACCTCTCGATCGAGGTTGATCGCCTCTGTGATCTCCCGGAATTCATACTCTACCAGGGGATCTTCCCTGTATAATAAGTGAAACATTAGCGCCTGTTGAAATCTTGCCTGTTCATCTTTCCACTCACTGGTTGCCGCTAGCGTGGTAATAAGCTAATGTCTTCAGTGCTTCTGCATGTCTGCCGGCGAAACGATCAGGCCTTGTGGTGCGAAAAGAAGGTTCCTTAAGCTGCTCTGCTTACCTGCCTTTGCTGATGAGCCATCTGGGAGATTCCGGAACGAACCAGATCAAACAGACTTGGATGACGGAAGGCAAGCCTTGAATCGCAGAAGGGATTCGCCATGCCCAGCTGTTCGGAACTTGGAATGTGCCGTACGTCTGCTCTAGTCTTCAGATCCGATGCTGATACAGAGTCGCACGATGTCGACTTACCACCCATGCAGCGCTGGATGACCGATATGTGAGTGGACCGAGATTCTCGTGAGCCAAGGTTGTGCTTACATGATGCTTCCAAACAGCCTGTATATTTGTAAGTAAAACGGCCAAGAGAGATGGCTATTGGGCTTACCAAAGACTGTTATAGACCGAGGTTAGCACCGCACGTTGGGAAGGGTACGCGACTTCAGTGATCAAAAGTGGGGCAGCGCTCGTTGCGAACGTAAGACCAAATCCAATCATAAACCTAAAGTACGTGTCAAATGATAGTTCCGAATGCGAGCAGAACCTCGAGAGTCACCTTGCACCAATGAACATCTGCACGGATTGGCTCGCAGTTTGGACGACTGTAGCGGCGATCATAACCCAAGCGCCGAAAAACACCGAAAACCGCCGACCGAGGTTGTCGGTCATGTACGGAGCAAACGGGAGACCGCAGAGAGAGCCGATGTTCTAATCAAAAATAAGCGCCAGGATAACAACAGTGTGATACTATACAATGGTTTACCTGGATAGCATTAAGCAAACCCAACTGTCCTCCACTAGGGTGGTTGAATGCGGATTCCCACTGGCTCTGCGACTGCAAGCCATCTGGTGGTAAGCCAATGAGTCGCCATCGCCCTCGATCCAAAAATAGCTGGAGCCTGAGACGTACTCATCATACTCCCTGGGGAGGAGGCAATGGGTTGGTCAATGGCATTGTGACGATAAGGGCCACGAACCGTCAAAACCATTGGTCGTCGACGTGATTAACCTGTTAACCGACATGAAATGAAATACACGTGGAGACGATCAGAACAGGCCTACAGCACCAAGATCCAGAAGTTGAGGAGAACGAGTCCTGTTCACAGCCTATTAGACCAACCCGGTTGCGAGGGCTAAACCGACGCAACGTACTCTTATTCTTCCACCATGGCCTTGACCTATCGATGAGGTGACTATAGGACGGTACGAGGTTGGCGGAGGTCAGCGCTGGTCCGGCACCCATTCTGAAAGCTCGCTCGATGCACGCAAGGAACGCGCTTCACACCAAAGTTCGAGGAATATCTTCATTTTGTATGAACCGCGAATGGCCAAGTTGGAGACAGTTTCCCCGCACTGCGCGCTCACACTGGACCTGCTGACAGGCTTCGTCAGTCCGAGGTCCCAAGGACAGACTTGTTTCGGCGGCACTGTACCTTAAAATCAGACTAGCCCAGTGAACGAAGGCGGATGTAGGGTTTGTCCTGGAGTCACCAGAACGACCGTGGAGCGGGCACGGCAACGTCCACGTCGGGTGCTTGCGCCGTGTATGTGATCACAAGAGCGAGTTCTCAGTCAATGCAGGGCGCTTCGCAGTACATGTGATGGAGGTGTGAACACATACGGGACGTGTTATTTTTGAACCAAGGTTTAAGCTAAAACCGTTTCAGGAAGAATCTTCGGGAGCAAGCCAGGGTCCGCCGCGTAGGTCCATTGTCAAGAGCGAGGGTTAAGATCACGGTGAGACGAAGGATAGAGAAGACAGGAATGGAACGCATTGAGAGGGCGGTACCAACAGGAAAGGATGTTGTCGTCTCAAGGCGCAAGCAAACGCAAGTCCCAATCCGCACGAGTATACCCATCGACGTTAAGCGAGGATAGTGTTGGCGGCGTCGCAAGGAATATTGCACAGCAAACTTTTCTTGTACGTGTCTTTACAAATGGGAAGCAGAAGATTTGCGTGGGGAGAAGTCGAAAGAAGGTTAAAACTTTTTATGTTGGCATGACCAGAATGAGCGTTTAAGCTCTCCGAGACATTACCGAGATGTTAAGATGAGCCCCAGCAACTGCTTCTTGAGCCTATGATCTACGTGCACGAAAAAGGGATCGCGAAGGGACCATGCTGCTTTGCGTAGATTCACGATGCAAGGACGATGGCAACAAGCTGTTGACAAGCTGTCTGGCGACATGCACCGAGATTTCTCACGTTACAGACTCCGACGAGAGCCATTGATATGCGTTTCCACCTTTGCGACTTGATACCTTGGGAGCCAGTATTCGTATCAATTGAATGTGCTACGTAGCAGTAAGTAGTATCATGATATTACAAGCGCTCATGATCTTCCTGATGCCATTCGTGCTTCCGACGCACACGCAATTGTCCACACCAATACATACAACGTCCTAATAAAACGTGCTTAATTTACGTTCATTACATACCGTGGATTCTTTGAAGTTGACGACTTCTGTCATGCCCGTGTGATCAATCTGGTCGGCAGTGTCAAGCCGACTTGCTAATAGCAATAACCTCCGTCTCCGAGTGAGTTTCCTTCTCGTCGAGCTTCTCGTCATTGACGGGCGCAATGCCGGCGTTGACGGCGGCCTCTTGTGCGATCTTTTCCAGGGTCTCCTCCCCATCGAACATCCTATCGTATAGAGTCGCTCAGAAGCTGTGGTAGGATCACGAGGACAGGGAAGGCTTACGCAGCAGTTTCTTCCAAGGTTTTCTAGTGATCATCTTAGTAGAAATCTGATGGAAACGTTCGTGTCACTCACGTTCTTGGTTTCGACGATGTAGAGCCAACAGAAGAAAAACTCGAAACAATCCCAGAACAGGTAGACGAGCTGATGTTGGCGTTGAGGGAGCATTCATAATCTAATGTATATGCACTCACGTAATACTTCCATTGAAGTTTCTCCAGTGCGATGGGGTTGACGTATCTGATTCATGTTAGACATATTTCAAGCCAATTTCAGGTTGAGAAAACTCACTGGTTGAAAATCAACGACAACGACAAAACAAAGTTGAACAGGACTACTCTTATGAGTATATGCTACGGGTTTGGAAGCAACACATACCGAAGCCCTAAAAACGATGTTCAGGACTTAGTCAAGAATAAGCAGACTGATGGGCTTCATACCTTAGCACGGATTTGGTAAGGCAGAATCTCAACCGTGTAGCTAATGAAAGTCAGAGCGGCGGTATAAAAAGCACGTCAGGGACTTACGAGACAATGAGGGGTGTAAAGGCAATCTACAACAAGTTTGTCAGGAATAACAAAGCATGCAAAGGTATAAACGTACATCATCTGTAAAGAAAGGTTAGCAATGTTCATACTCAGGGCTGATATGTACTCACAGGCGCCATACCACAGAACTGATAACATTGATCAGCCGAGCGAGGGGGGATCTCAAGGCCAGACTCACAAATAAACGCAATGACCCCATGCCCAGCCATTGGATTCCCGGTCTCTTGGACGATCGCGAAGCAAATGGTTTGGGCAGTCCAGAAGATGACCATCCCTGGAGTAGAGGTGAGCTTCTACCTGCAAAGCGATGCATCTATAACGTTACCCGCGCAGGAAATCAGGAAAAGGCGACGTCTTCCCACTTTATCGCAGCAGAAACCAGCCGCGACAGCTACAATGAAGTTGTAGATACTTAGAATACCATTCTGAACCCAACGTCAAAGGTGGTTATCTAGGTGAGCTTAAGTTTTAGCTTACGATCAAGAGCTGGGTGGTGGGATCGGTGACTGTCGATCCGGTAAGAAACCTAAAGACGCAATCGTTATCTGACGCTTACTTCCAATAGCATCGAAGACCTTGTTGAGGTCTTTTCACTTGTCAGCGTGGATCAGGAAACAAACAATCCATACACACAATATGAGCTAAAAAAACAAAAGGTCCTGAGCACCATGAATATGGACACGTGAAGACACGTACACCAGACCACTACCAGACCACTGCGAGAAGAAAGCGAGCGCGACAATGACCCGCACCCGCTTTCGGTTCCCAGGAGTCTTGAACAAGCTCACCCAGCCGACGTTAGTTGCGGATTCGCGGTCCATCCTGATTGCAGTCTTGATCTCCTCAAACTCATATTCCACGAGTGGGTCATGCCTAGCCATTTGGATTAGTACGGATACCACTACGACATACGATCATCACTCACTCATTGCCTTTGGCATGGTAGTAAGCGAGAACACGGAGGGCCTCTTCTTCCCTGTTGGTGGCGATGAATATCCCTGTATGTACTTTATGAGGAAAACGCCAACTCACTTTCCTTGTCCAACGAGCCAACGAGGAGACTCTGGGACCATCCAGAGAAGCAGGACTTGAAGGACGGAAGGCAAACCCTGCAGCGCAGACGGAGCTCTCCATGCCCAGCTGTTAGGGATGTTGAAGGTGCCGAATGTCTAAGAATATAACAAGTATCATTAAGTTGTATAATCGGTGGCGTTGGATCATCACTTACGGTCCACGCAGCACTGTAATCCAAATTGTAAGTAAACGAGATTTCTAACTCGAAAGATGGCCAATACGTACATGATACTGCCAAGGTACCAAATCGTGTTGTACATGGACGTGAGCTGAGCACGCTGCGAGGGGTATGCAATCTCCGTTACCAACAACGGAGATGCACCCGCGGCGAACGTGAGTCCAAAGCCGATCAGCCATCTACCGGTGCACCCTCAGCTTGCTTGCTAGACGCAAAACGGAGGCCAGCTTACCGAGCCCCAATGAACATCCGAACGTTCTGGCTGGCAGTTTGGATGATCGTGGCGATGACCATGAGACTCGCACCGAAGATGATGGCCTTCCTCCGCCCGAAGTGATCGGTAACGTAGGGAGAGAATGGGTACGCGCATAATGACCCGATATTCTAAACGCGGATTAGGCGAGAGATGTGTTAGTACGTCAAGGACTTTCTTACCTGGATGGCGGTCAGCAGCCCAAGCTACATAGGGAAGAGTTTCAGAGTCTGTAAATATGGCGAGTAGTGAAACGCACCTGTCCTCCCGTGGGATAGTTGAAGGCCTCGTTCCATTGAGTCAGCGACTGCAGGCCATCTGTTCGCAAGTGAGTCTTCCTGCCACCAGGGGTGTTAAGTTGTACGTACTCATCATACTCCCTGATTCCGCTATTAGTTTGCTTTGATGTGTAAACATCATATCCACTTACCATCATAGCCATTAGTCGATGACGTGATTAACCTTCAAAGTTGGGGTCAAGTTTTGAGAAGTCATCATCGATCAGAGATACTTGCATGAGAAGTATGAAACAGTTCAAAAGGACAATTCCTATTCGCTGATGAGCCGACCATGACAAATTAATGAACTCTCAACGAGCTTACGTGAGTTCTTGTACCATGGCCGCTGGTCGATAAGGTGAGCGTAGGAAGCAGAACCTTCAGATACGATGGCAGGGCCGGCACCCATCTTGGCAATGGACGATTAGAAGCGGCAAGGCGGGTAACAGATCGAAACATCCTCGCAGGTGGGCCGACTCGATTTAAGACGGGATCGGTCGAGCACGCGAGCTTCCCATTTGGAGCGAAGCTACTGGGTAAAGCGATGTGAATACAATTGGTGCGTACTCAGCAAAATCCGAGCGAGCGGCCGAACGGGTCAATTTGATAAGAGAAGGGCGCCTCGGCGGGGCGGAGATATGTTTAGCTGATAAGACGAAGAAATTCCGAGAGCTATTCACGGATCGCATGCACGAAGAAGCCACGATGTAGATTAGAGAGTCCATTGAGAAGGTTTTCCCAGCCAGCAGCATTCGTCGTTGGGTCCGGTCTTTCATGCGATAGATTCTTGGCGCATACAGTTGATTAGGCTCGGGCCATACAGTTGAGACAGGGAGGCTCACAATATCATTAAGGTACATCGTCAATTCGATGAGCTTGTTGACACGGCGGACGGTGTGCTCTGTGTTCCCAGTATGCGTCAGTGGCACCAGCCAGATGGAATTCACAGGATCGTGTCTGCCCCGACTATTTTCCTGAGAAGTCCAGGAAGTGTCGCTCGGAGGCCTTCAGACCGACAAGCCTCTAATAGCGTAGCTAAACGTCAGGACGAGCTATGTGCGAATCGGCAGAAGATCTTACGCGTACAATACGGGGCCATCAGCGAGTCAAGGAACGCATCGAACCCATGGTATTCGCCGGGGCCTCCCGGTCTAAGTTGCAGCCACTCCATGTTTCCACTAGCTCTGTTGTAGTCTCCGCCGAATCCAAAAATAAGAAACGCAGAGAATTTGAAGTTGGACGCCGAGTCCGATTCGTGGAACGTAGACAGTTTCCCCAGATTTATTCCGGGATGACGATTCGTGTCTGGGGCCCCCTGGGGCGAGGAGGGGTGGATTGATTCCAGCGAGATGTCCACTTGAAATTCACGGATGAGCGCTTAACTTAGATGGAAGTGTGTCCAAGAGGAACGGAAACAACCTGAAACAACCTGTACACAGCTCAAGCATCCGCCCGCCGGAGATTACCGGATGGGGAAATATCCAAATAGACGAAAACAGCTGCGTCATTCGCAGCCCCACTTGTCTGCAAGGAAGTTTCTTCACTGACAGTAACAATGACCGCCGCTTAACGGACTTCGTCCGGACATGACGAACGCATGTCTCGAAGAAGGAATGGTGCTGCCGAGGTACTCTTGACTTCTTGTAGAAACGTAATCTGAACTTCTAAAGACCCCCAGCTCGCCCCCACTGCTAGCTCGATTATTTTGCGGCTTTATGCTGCGCTCCACACAATCCATCTTGATTATATGCGCGTAAACCAAGCAAATGGCGTGTTATGTCAAGAGTATTCATGATAGAATCATCAATAACTCTGGTTCTACCATTGATTGGAGCATTCCTTAACCGACCTTCAAGTCTCGCGTGAAGACGGGCGCGATAGGGTGCGGAACCAATACAGTACAAGTTGGCAAGAAACTAACTTACATCGTTTCCTTTACTTTGACTGACCAAAACACTCTTGGACCAGCTAGCATTCTCCGTGCGCGGGTGTGCCATCTACATGCAAAACCATCGCACCCTTGAACCTTGTCGATGAGGTTGAGGAGCGCTGCAGTCACTGATGACCTCATCTTTCTCTCTAATGCCTGACCACACCAGCTGTCACTGCCCGGGAAGCTACTGCATCGTCAGATCCATATCAGCTCAACGATGGAGTTGGAACTGGTTGGAAGATCTACCGTACCAGACGCACTGGGGAGGTCTCCAGAACCATGTCAATATCAGGCGGTGGCTATCTCCTTTCACTAACACATTTAGACTTCGCCAAGTCTAGTCCATCTACTAATGCGGGCTCACAATAAGCGTACGTTCCTTTCGGCTTTCTCTCCGGGACCCTCCCTTTTCTTACAATGTCGACGCTCGTGCCGAGTAGCCGGACCTCGCTTTGTAGCACGAGGGACGTGGCTACCAATAATATCACTACCCCTTGACCATAAACGTTTGGATGGTACCACCAAAGGCGCCGAGGAAAACTCGTGTTGGACCTTGAACTGCCTTGGCCGGCCTGAATCGGTATTGCGTCCGTCAGCGTGAAGCCATCCGCTTGCGATCCGTTCTCACCATCCAGGCAGTTTCGGCTGGACTGACATTACTATCGCTAGTCATCGTCCGACCTGGTCCGAGGAAATCAGTGCATGTACCCGCACACTTGTGCAACTGCCACCACCAGGTACCCATGCGGATCGACGGGAAGCTGGTCAGGTTGGGCAAGAAGCCTGAAGGCAATCGATTCCATTTTGACCCTTGCCACTTGGCCTGCTGCGAGCTGGAGTCCTCGGTTCTCTCTTGGAGCCTTTGATTGGTAGTTTGCGCCGCGTTTCACGAGCTGATGTCCACAGATAGCGATCGTTCTCTGGCGCCGCTCTCTGCCGCTCTCCATGGAGGGAAGTAAGCTTTGGAACTCTATATATAGTAGTTTCCCACAAGGACCGTGTCGGACACCGGGATTTGGACTGGCACGGGGGAAGAGAGGAAATCTTCGTGCCATTGCTTCCCTCTGTGTCCGCACCTCTGACAAGTCCCCCGTGCTGCCTCGTGTGACTCGGCTCTCCTCACATTAGATCGTGGCCAACGCGCAAGGAACGGTCCACTTTCTTTCTCCTTCCTCTTTGTAACTCTCATTCTGCTGGCACACTATGGCTCCTCCACCACCACCACCGCCTCCACTGTGCCTCCCATTCACCAAGAGGAACAAGCGTATCGACGCTGCTGAACTCACGCGGTCCTTCAGCCAGCGGTCAAATATCTCGTCTCGTTCGCAGGGCATGGACTCGTACCGCTCGGCCGACTCTCGCGTGTCTGGTCGTTCTGCGGGTACTCACCAGCCTGCGCAGCTCGTGCGAACCGGCTCCTACTCCCCTACGCAAACTCTCGCATCCGACGCCGAGAAGCTCTCTTTTGACTCTGATTCCGAGGTGTACGATGTTCCGGCTCTTCCGAACAAGAAGACAAGGGGAGGGCAGCAGGAGACCGCACTCGTGCGCTCGGATTCGAAGAGGAAGTGGGGCTATGGATGGGGGATGGGAAAGAACAAGGAAGGCAGAGTAATGACGAGGGAGAGGTCAGCATCACTGGACGAGAAGCCGTCGCTCCATACTTCGGCTACAGTCACTCGGTCGTCAACCCGGTCTAGCGGTCGCAGCGGTGCGAGCGGTGCGAGCGGTGCTACTGGTGTCAGTGGTGTCAGCGGTGGTAGCAGACGTCCTCCATATTACGCCAGCGACTCCTCAAGCACACTCGTTGGATCAGCATACATACGGAAAGAAGACGGTGTCGACGATCCTATTCAGAGAAGGGTCGACAAGGAGAAGGTTGACACGGCTGCCCGGTTGGAGGAGATCAGGAAGCTTATGATGAGGGACAATTTGGACTATTAGTGCGTCTCCATGACTCCTCTATCTTTGCACCGCTCATTTCACTGTCATCTAGTGTCATTCCCAGTGAAGATGCTCATCAATCTGAGTACGTTGCTAAGGGCGACAAGCGCAGGGAGTGGATATCAGGGTAAGTATATCGCCTTCACTTTTATCTCTAGGTATGACATGCCCTAACCCATCGACAGTTTCACTGGCTCTGCTGGTCAGGCTATCATTTCTAAATCGACAGCCTACCTTGTCACCGACTCGCGATACTGGATTCAGGCCAAAGAGGAGCTAGACAACAACTGGCATCTGATTCCCGCCGGAGATGTTGACGGTCCCAAGGATTGGATAGATTGGCTCTCTGATCGGGCGAAAGACGCTCGAATTGGCATGGACGCGCGTATGATTTCACATCAGCACGCAACTCAGCTCACGGCGAAAATCAACGAGAAGAAGTCGAAGTTGGTTTTCCCGCCTCAGAATTACATCGATCTGGTCTGGAAGGACAAGCCCTCAAGGTCGAAAGAGCCAGTATTCATTCAGCCTATCGAATTTACTGGTTAGTCAATCGTTCTGCGCCTTTTCGAACGTGGGCTAACTCGACTATAGGACGCGAAGCCTCCAGCAAGCTTGCGGAAATCCGAAACTTCGTCCGAGCACAACCCCCTTCCGTCCCATCCTACTCTAAGTCCAATCCGACGCCTGCCCAGATGCATGTGGGCACCCTAATTACGTCTTTGTCGTCAATCGGTACGTGGCAAGATCTACCAGCCCCACTACTCTGAACTTACTGTGTTCTATTCTCTCAAGCTTACCTCTTGAATCTCCGTGGATCCGACATACCATACAATCCATTATTCTATGCGTATCTATTCGTCTCGCTGGATCGTATCACCCTCTTCCTCGACGCCTCAAAATTGACTCCCGACGTCGAAGATTATCTCGCTTCGCTCGGCATCGAACGGAAGGAGTATAATGATATCTGGGCCTTCCTCCGCCGTCGAGAGTGGGGCGAGGGCAAGATTATCATCCATGCGGAGACATCGTATGCCATTTCCTTGATGCTCACACATTTCCGCTACACGGTCGCACCTTCGTTCGTGGAGGACATGAAGGCGGTCAAGAATGAGGTGGAGTTGGAGGGCATGAGGCGTGCCTATATCCGAGATGGAGCCGCATATGTGAGTTTCTTCTGCTATTGCGCAGATTTCCCATCGTGACTAGGAGTTTTCCAGGTGAAATGGCTGGCTTGGTTGGAGCACAAGATCCAGCAGGGCTACGACATCACAGAGTGGGAAGCGGCTTGGCGGTTAACTGAGTATCGCAGGCAGAACAAGCATTACTGGGGCCTTGCTTACGAGAACATCTCTGCCAGTGGTCCCAATGCCGGTGCGTTTCATCGTCATCTCGCAAACGGCGACTCTGTTGCTCATGTGATTCACTAGCACTCCCGCATTATTCGCCGACAAAGTTGGGTGCTAAGATGATTGACCGTGAAACCCCGTACCTGAAGTGAGTGATTGCCTGCCTCCGCGTTTTTACGCCTTTGATTAATCTTCGGCAATCCAGCGACTCGGGCGGGCAATACCGCGACGGGACGTGTGACACGACACGGACGGTCCATTTTGGACGTCCCACGCAGGATCAATGCGAGGCATACACGCGTGTCTTGCAAGGTCATGTAAGTTTATTTCCCGGAGCTCGCTCTGGTTGCCCTTTCACAGCGTCCCTGATTCATTGTGCGTAGATTGGCATTGACTCCGCGGTGTTCCCCGAGGGCACCAAGGGCTCGGCGCTCGATGTTTTGGCTCGCCGTGCCTTGTGGAAGGATGGATTGAACTACCTTGTGAGTACCCTTCTCGCGGGGTTCACATTATCCGCATAGAAGGCTCACGGCTCATTCTTGGGCGTACGCAGCACGGCACCGGTCATGGCGTTGGTGCTTTCTTGAATGTTCACGAGGGACCGCACGGGTTCTCAAATGCCATCCCTTTGGTCCCCGGCCACGTCATTACCAATGAGCCTGGGTTTTGTGAGTACTTCTACACGTTTGATCGGCGACCCGTCTCACACCTCGGTCAGATCTCGAGGGACGATGGGGAATGCGTATAGAGTCGGCGCTTGTGGTACGACGTGTGAAGGTTCGTACCTTGCTCCGTCATTCTCTCCAGTTTTGGAGTTCCGGTCTATCTTCGAGCACGTCTGCTGACCCGCCTCTTGTTAAAATTAGACGAAGGGGGAGTTCAACGGCGACATTTGGTTAGGCTTCGAACGCCTCACCTGCGTTCCCATTCAGACGAGAATGGTGAAGGAGAACATGCTCACTAAAGAGGAGAAGCAGTGGCTCAAGGTTCGTGCCCCCCTCTCTGCAGTCGCATGTCTGAGCTTCTGGCTAATCTGCGTTTTCTTCAAATTCGTCTTCAGGACCACAATAAGAAGTGCCTTGAGAAGCTGGAGCCGTATCTCAAGGACGACAAGCGTGCGCTCAAGTGGCTGAAACGCGAAGCAGACCGAGGCTTCGGCCTCGCAGCTCCAGGGCCCGGCGGAATCGCCATCGATTGGGACTGAGCCCGTGCGGACCATCCCCCCTCCTGTTCGTTTTCTTTTCCATTTTTCTTTCATCTCTCGCTCGCTTCCCTTCTCTGTCCTTCTGAACCTACCTTATCCCCTCCCCTCGTTGGACGCTTATTATACACTAGACTATTGGAACGATAACCCGAGAAACCGTCGTAGGACGTCTCTCCACGATTCAATGATACCTCGACGCACCTAACTATAACCGATTACGATGCTTTACTAGATGCTGCTATTATTTTCCGCGGAAGCCTCTTGGATACGCGTCGCTCCACACCCTCTTCGTTCTCTCTTTCTGTTGTCATACCTTCTGTACTACCAATTGTTTGTTTGTGTGTACTTTTTCAATGTTTCAATACGCCTCTCAGATCTCGCGATGGAGAGCTCCATATTATATGTCCGTAGATACACGTATACAGAGGAAGGGAGTTGTTGATGTGAAAAACGCATGTGACTACCGTCTGTCAGTTTTGCCACCCTTCCGCTTGCCGGCGAATAGATGTTTCGGCTGAAGAAGGAAAGGCCGCGTTAGCCAAGAGCAACGTTGGATGGACGAGATAAAGGCGTGACTTACCATTTTGGTTTTGATGGTACGGTCACCCTCACCAGCTTTGGCGAGCATGTTTCGTCCTCTCTGGCCAAGGTTCCGAAGCTTGACGGCTTTGGAGGCTTGCTATAGAAGGATATAATTGTCTCAGTGCTTCCAATGAATGGAAGAGAAGGCAAGAAAACATACCTCAGTGTCGCGCATACCAGCCAGCTGCCGGTTCGTCCGTGGTGCTCTTGCGCTCTTCGCGATGATTGCCCCCGAATTCGACTTGACACGCTTGTTCGGCGAGTCGCCTTCGCCATCCACGTCCATCCAGTCCCCTTCGTCGCCGTCCTCGTCCGAGCCATCCTCGTCCATGTCGATGTCCATATCATCTCCACGTTTTCGCTTCGCACCCTGCACCTTGGCGAGCATAGTCGCGCGGTCCTCGATACTGCTCGGGTCGTATCCTGCCTTCTTGAGCTCCGACGAGAGCTCCGAGAGCGTGCGCAGGCCAGCAGTACGCGGCAACCGGGGTGTGTTCTTTTTCGACTTTTTGATGCTCTGCGAGTGCATCTTGTGCTTGAGAGCTTCGCGGGCGGCAACCTCCTCACGCTCGTCATCGGAATCGAACTAGGGGCGCAAATCAGCAAGCAATGAGAGGTAGGATAAGGTTAGACCTCACTATATCCTCCTCTTCCTCGTAGAAGCCCTCTGCTTGGAGTTTCTCCTCCTCCCGCTCGAGCGCCTCCAGTTTCTCCGCAATATCCGGGTCGACAAAGTCGGCCACGTTCTTGCCGTCCATAATCTCGGGTATGATATCGTGATTCCAATCGGGGTTCGCGAGCAAGTAATCCTCTAAAAAAGGGGTTAAGTACACTAAATGCGCGAAAAAGTTCGAAAGCGTACGCTTCATGTCCATGTTGAAGACGCCGGCGCCGCCCTCCTCTATCTCGACATCGCGCAGCAATTTCCTCCTGTCGGGGTCGTTCTTGTCGAACTTCTTCTTCTCTTTGACGATGTCAGGGATGAACGGCGCGCGTACCACTTCGTCACGCGCTTTGGGTACGGCGACGTGTATCCGGTTGATGACCGAGTTGATCTTGCTGCCCTTGAGCTTCGTGTCCACGCGGTGGGCGAGGAGTGCGTCGCATGCCTTGTTCTTGAGGTCCATGACACCCTCCTCCGAGTAACACGACACCTGGACACACTGCACGTCCTCTCTGTCGATGATCTCCTGTACGAGGGCGCGGCTCTCCGCTGGGAGGTCTTCCAAACGCGTAACGTCGATTTTGTTGATGACCAGCATGGTCGGCTTGCCACCGAAGAGTGGTTTGATGGAATGGAATAGTTGACACTAAACAGCTTTTAACGAGACAGAACGATATCCTTGATAGGATAAAACGCACCTGAGCCTCTACGGTATACCCACATTGCTCGCTAAGATCCATAAAGTACATGACACAGCTTTTGAGGTGAGCAAGAGCGGTGATGCTCTGCATCTCGATCGTGTTCATCTCCTCGAGGGGGTGATCGAGAATCCCAGGGGTATCGATGACCTGCCACCGCAAGTACTTGTAGTCGAGGTGTCCAACGAAGAGGGATTTTGTGGTGAATGCGTATGGCTGGACGTCGACATCTGCACGGGTGACCTTGTTGATAAACGACGATTTGCCGACGTTGGGGTATCCGCAGATGAGGAGTGTCCGTGTGTTGGGGTCAATGGCGGGGAGACGGGATATGTGTTGGCGGACTTGCTCGAGGTACGCAAGGGGGTCTTTTTGTCGGCGCATGATCGTAGCCATGCTGTACCGGGAGATAAGTATGACATACGAAGCAAGCATATATCCACTCACCGACCGAGCGCAGCTTTCTTAAGCTGCTTACAACGATACAAACTATCACCGAACTTGAGTAATCGTACATAGTCCTTGGCAACCTGATCTATAAGGTGCCGTGCGGTGCGAAGCTGGCCAAGGGCGAGCTTGTAATGGTTTTTGTCATATAATACATTCATGAGGGAGGAAAGGAAGGGATGGAGGTCCTGAATAATATCGAGGTGTTAGCTGTAGGCACCATCGCCTAGATCCTGCAGGACGTACATCGAGAAGGGGGAATTCTGTGAGAATGCCGCCTAGTTTTTCATCGAAGGAATCTTGCGTGAACTTGACCTTTCGCATGTAGAAGTTGCGTATGCGGCTGATCTTGAAGTTTTTGTGGATGACCTATAACCAAGAGAACGTTAATTGGCCCTGATATGATAAACGCGCAACATGTAAATGATGCCTACGGTGGGTGTCTTCCGCTGAGTTTTGGAGAGAACGATGTCCAAGAAGTCAGCCGCAGTGGGGACTGGTGATATCGCCTTGAGCCCGCTCGTCGACATGGTTGGCAGTGGGGAGATGAGTGGGGGCAGAGAGGGGACCAGCGTCGGTCGCTGTCCTCACACCGGAATCCGTGTCCAGTCCAATTTTTTGATTGTTCCCACGAATTCACTCAGGGGCTAAACGCATCTTATCCCGAACCACGAACCCCTTCGCGGTCAGCGGACGCGCCTCTAAATCCTTCAGCCATACCCCAGAGTTAAGGATCGATTCAGGCAGGGTAGCGTATCATCGCCCTCTTTTCCCTATATCTTCCCACTAGAATCTCATACGGTTAATGGCCTCCACAGAGATCTCAAGGCCGAGTGGGTCCAGCCATCCGCTTTTTTGGATGGTGATTTGACCTTTGACGCAGGTATAGTTGTCATCCGAGCATATGCAATGATTGGGTAGACCTATGTTAGTCGCGACAACCAGGGATCTAACACATGTCCGCGCTGAAACAAGATGACAGGATTTTTCTCTGTGTCCACCGCATGAAGCACTGATACAGTGCAAGGCATCAAGTGACAACTCCATACAGGGCTTTTGTGCTGCAGATAGTCACGCCCTGATACATGAGTGGTGGCTTTCGATGGTGTCGGCGAGAAATGGCGCCACCCATCGCGCTGTTTCCAGCTCGTGAGTTCTCACCACGGCCTTAAAGGTGAGCACGATATCTCGGTGCGGACGCCTGATGGCTAACACGAGCGTTTGGTGCACAATTTCGCTGCTAGAGAAACGAGAAGCTACAGAGACCAACAAACGACCACCACGCCAACAACACACTAGCGTCAGCGATGATATGAGCTTGCCTAGCCCTCTTCACTACGGAAGTTGGCTCGTCCACGTTCGCTTTCAGCTGATGAGTGCCGATGAAAGCAGGAATGACCAGTTGAGCAGGGTGAAGTGTCGTCTACATGACATATCCTTGTGGAAAGAGTTCAGTTTGCACAAACCTTCCCATGCTCTCACCCCTGAGTCGAGTTCTCGACGTTTGAGCAATTGCTTACCTGTGATAATTCACAGCAGTTCTATTCCACGTATCAATCTACTCCTCCAAACTAAAGCCATATCTTCAAGCTGAAATACGTGAGTATTCTAGCCATCCTTGAAGTTGTTAGAGGTGAGATCTCGCATGGTCAATGAGGAGATCCTGAGTGTCGTAACAAGCTTGGGCGGAAATGAGCTGCGGACCCAAGTGGCCACTTTGTCAGAGCCCTTTGACAATAGTTTCGCACACACCTCGTGTTTGTTACGCACCTCAAGTCATGTAGGAAGTTACGTGGTGAAAGTTGTTTGCTTTCCTCAGTTACTGAGGAAAATAAACAAACTGACGCAATGTACGCTTGTAGGCACAGCTCATCGCAACGGAGGTAATTCAGGCGGCTCCGCTCCGAGCGGACGTAATGGTATGGGTCGCCCTGCTCCACCTCCTCGCCCTTCTCCACTCAGGTTCACTCAGGGAAGCGGATTGTTGCTTATCGTGACCATTGGAAGTGGTTGAACTTGACAACGTGGCCACAGCGCACCACCAGCTCCGATGACGCACGTAGACATGAAGCTGGGATCCACATGAGCATATTTATGTTCAGCTCTCCGGTCAAAGGGGTCAACTTTCCGACCACAAACTCTCCACCAGACCATTCGTAAGCTGCTCCTGCAAAAATGCCTCTCTTCAGCGCATACCATGAGGAACCTCCCCGTACCAGCAACACCTTCGACCAGCCTCCTCAACGCAGTCGTTCTATCTTCTCTCGCAACCGCTCCAACTCTCCTCCAGCCAGCAACCGATCCTCGGTCACTAACGGGTCAAGCACCCGTAATGGTGGCCTGTTTGGTAGTCTGCGCTCGCGCTCGAGCGACTCGAGCATCGAACAGACGAAACGAAACATGTCCAGAGATCCCACCATCGCTGCTGCGCGGATGAAGGTCGCCGACGCCGAAGCTGCAGAGAGAGCTGCAGACAAGGCACTTGTTGAGGCACGCTCTGCTGTCAAGTCCGCCCGCGAGCACATCAAAGTCCTCGAAAACGAAGTTCTGGAAGAGTAAGTCTCTTGCCCCTGCTGAGACAAGACTGTGGTCTGAATATATGTTGCACACTAGCGCTAGACGTGCTAAGGCCAAACAGGCTGAGGCTAAGAATGTGAGCAAGAGCGCGAAGGGCCTCGGCCGTCACGGATGAGTGGCTTCTCGACATCTTTCACGAACATGACTTGACGATTGTTCGATACCTTACGGAGCCTGTGGATACTTAATTTGATGCTGTATACTATTTTTTGTCCTATGATAGAAGCTTCTTAAATACCACACACTGAGTTGACGCTTCACCAAAGCATCTCGAGCGGATTTGGGGATTTATCAGCGTGCTCTTCCGGGATGAATTTACGAATCAACTCCCAGGCTGCGAGTCAGCTTCGAGCCCCCGCTTGCATCCAATCAGAGCTTTCGCGTGCGGGTCATGCTAGGATGGCGATTGGGTCCATGCTCATTGTGGACCCGAGTTGAAAGAAGGCCGGAGAAGGTTTGGTTTGACAGAATCAAAAGCTTGCACAAAGCTTGAACATGAAGTTAGTCAAGACGGTCAAGGTCAAAGCGGATGTGTTATCGCTGTATCTGGGTCTCAACAGGCAAATTGCTAACCCCATGCCACATAGCATTGAAGAAAAACAGTAAGCTTTCCACAATCCACAACCATTGAACTTCGACAGGTTCGACGGACTTCGACCCTATCGACTGGTCCTGTTGTTGATCTGATCGACCTGAGTCAGGCAATCTCACGATCAATTCACGAGTGTGGGAACGGTAAGCCTTCCATAAACAGATATCTACCCCTGATCAGACCAAGGGACGTTTTCGGTAGGGTGGCATCTTGGTTGATTCTCATCTTGTTCTGTCCGTTCGTTCTGCTCGCGTTGTCTGCAGCTGGGCAGCCTCTATACCTCCACACTCTTTCTACGCTCCGACACTAGTGTTGTACTGGCCTTCTCATGCTTCTTGGAAGCACTTAGTATGGCAAGCTCTCAAGTCATCTCCGAGCCTTCCCCACGGAAAACAGTACCGACGACGTTCATGTTCTCGACCTTAACCATCACTGGTTCGAAGCTTCCAAACCCTATAACCTTGACCAGATCAGAGGACTTCCCACCTCATAAACTGGATTTCGATGAAGATGGATATGTGCCGACGATGAAGTGGTGTCCATCACAGGGTCCTCAAGGAGCAGGTCACCTGTCTCTGAAGATGGGGAAGCGCATTTCCGGGGGCGGAGGCGGCGTCGCTTATGAGGCAGAGGTCTTAACATCTGATGCGGAGGGAAGCAGCGTCACACCCTCCGATCCGTCTCCCCTCGAACAAAAGCTTTGCATCAAGGTGGCACGAGCCAATCGTTGCCGTACGCTCGCAAGGGAAGCGTGGATGTACAGGAAGCTTAGCGGGCTACGGGGCATCATTGCGCCCCACTTCTACGGTTTCTTTGCTGTTGATCTTCCCGAGACACACCGGCCGTTTCCCCCAAAAGATGACCTTGTCCGCTTGGAAAGGGATGATCCAACAGTCGACGAATTTCTACCGGATGATGATCCGGTGGACGGGCAGGGAGGCAGAGACCGCTCGAAGTGGTGCGAATGGCGGCCGAACACCGACGCACCAATACTGGCCGTCCTCGTCATGTCAAGAGGAGGCAAGACATACTCTGGGAGGGACCACTATGATTCGTCCATGCGGTGCGTTTTACAATGGTTTCATCCACGTTGATTACTCATATCTGTGCAGGGAAGAAGTCCGCAAGGTACTCGACGACTTGTCACGCGCGTCCCTGTTACATGGAGACTTGCGCCCGGCCAATCTCGTCCGCGCCCCCGCAGACACGATACCATGCGATTTGCACCAGTGTGTTCACAAATGGAACGTCATCGACCTTGCTCGATCTGACGCTGTGGATATCCCTGTGGATAATGCGCTTTACTCAAAGCCTGATAGAACCCCAGAAGAGGAGATGAATGTTAGGACGTGGAGTTTTTTCGTAGATTTGCAACAGTCAGGCTACAAGACTGAACATTTTGCCTTATGATGACGCTGATACCAATAATAATACTCTTTTGTAGTCTCGCCTTGATGATGGCTATTAATCTCCCCGTTGTCCAGTAGCTTGAGACCGCATGTGAGCGGTTAACTGGCGCAACGAAGGGGTCGTTCGGAAGGCGGACGAGAGCGAGCTGATCAAGTAAGTCCCGACACAGATTTGATCTGTTCCACTCAAAGTCAAGAGCGAGACACGGATGGATGCAAAAAGCTAAACCTTCAGTACTCACCTGCATATCTTCGACATTGCTCTATTTTACCTGGGCATCTCCCTTGGTTGCCTTTGGGGAGTCTTTCAAGTAAATTATAAGTATTGAATCAATTCGAACTGACACAAATTATGTGCATGAATAGATTACCTCTTGGTAATTTGTAATATCCTTATATATTTTAACAGGTAAATAAAATAAGCTACCAAGTTTTAAATTTCCGAGTAACGATCGTGTCCCATAGTAAATCGATTGCAGCTGGCCGAAATCCAACGCGTAATCTACTCGGTGCGTGTCCAGGACAGGTAATAACGGGGTCTTTGAGTGCGAGATATCGCGGGACCGTACTCGCCAAAGTGTACAAATATACCTCGCTCTTTTCCTATCGCCTCAGCAACTCCTTCGCCAAATATTTGAATACACTCCCGCCAATCAATTCTAACAGAGCGCCACCCAGTTGTACGCAGGGCTTGATAAAATTCCTCCTTTTCCCAGGACTTGATTGGGATGATACAAGGCAGTTGTTCTTGTCCTAGCGACTCGCTCTTTTCATCGACAGAGCTGTCAGCCTTGTCGTCATTGTCCGAGGCGTCGTTGCTGCTACCTTGCTTTGGGTGGTCATTGTGAACGTTATCGAGGACTTGTTGCCGCGTAAGGGCGAGAAGGCTGGCACCTTCACCGCGTATAATTAGTTGTTGCATCTTCTTCATTCTGGAAACCGTGGCATCGACAGCCCATTCCTCCGACTGCGCACCAGTGAGGTCAATGCGGCAGTCATGAATACAAAGATAATCCAGACAGGGCCCGCATTCGTCTAGCCAAGCACGGAGCACAGCGTTGCTGATCGTTATGAAGGTAAGAGTGACATCTCGCAGATAACGAGCAGAATGTTTCAGGATGTTGTGGAGCGGAAGTGATCCCAGCTCAATATCCTCAAGCTGTATATCACTGAGTGAACAACCCAAGGGCAGTGTGTCGTCTAAAGTGCTTGTACCGTCCGTCAGCAATCCTGTACATCTGATTTCCTTGAGAGACGGTAAGGACCGAGCGAGGGTGAGAACATCAGATAGTTTGTGCTTTGATACTCGTAATTGCGAGAAACACGAAGATCGTAGTCGTTGTCGATATGAAGTATCTGAAGAATGCTGCAGTCCTTCAGTGGCTCATAGACCATAGAAAGGTCTCCCCAGCACCATGCCTCGACTTTCACCGAGGCGAGTGACTTTGCTGAGGCTTTCAGGACACTGATGGCAGCCCGAGAATACGTTTCAACACAGTACCTAGGTTCCTGATGAATCTCCAAGTACTTGACATATGATGTGTGGGTTGGTTGTGCGTCAAACAGGCTGGCAAGCTTCTCCAGATGTTCCGCGGCGATATCCCAAGAGTAGATAACCCGCAGCGCATACGGCAAAGCAGCGCGATGCCATGTACGATTAACCATTCCGTACTTGATTACTTCCCGTCTCCATGGAGGATACGCCAAGCCAAGGGAAACCCGAGGCTCAGTCTCGCCAATGATGGTGTCCAGGATCTCTATTGGCAGGGAAGGAGGCGAACGCAGTTCTGACGGGGGAGGGATGACGGTGTATAAGAAGGTTTCAAGTCCGCCTTCGCCATCAACGCGAAGCGGAAAATCACTCTGCAGGTAGACCGTCACTGATCTCGAAGCACGAGTAAGAGGGTGATCGTATCGCCACACCAACTGCCTGCTGGAAAGGGGGCGCGACTCGGGGTCAAGTGTTGAGACACCAGCGAGTAAGTCACGCTGCGTGCTGATGTTCTCGATGATAAGCATAACTTTGCACATCGGTAGACCTGAGGCATCTCCAGGAGGCGGCAGATTCAAGTGGAGCTCTTGAGGCTGTGAGGTCAGGTCACTCAAGAGCGTAAGACGGGTCTTCTGCTTCGCTTTGTACTTGAAACGATAGTCACTTATGGGAGCCCAGACGTCCTGAAAAAATACTTTGTCAAGGCCGAATATCGTAGAGAGATGCAGCCACCAACAGGTACAAGTTTTTCGTCGTCGCAGTGACGGATATAACACTCCATCGCGTCTGAACTGACCGAACTTGGAGTCCATACCTCCAAGGTGACACCAACATAGTATCTAAGCGCACCCTTCTCGAAGACGACGCTCACTTTGCACAGATAGCTGTCCATAACTTCGCTAGGAACTAGAAATTTGGCCTTTATAACTTCGCATCGTAGAGCTGGCTCGGGAACTGAAGGTGGAGATGTTCCTAACATTTTGATGGACTCTTTGGCAGATAATTCGGGATTTTGAATGATGCTTTGTATCTGAAAGGAGGGTCTGCGGGCGGAGGATTTCACTGTCGTTGCCCAAGGTTGAAAGCAAACTGAAAAACGCGCCCGCGACGCGAGTTACGATTGATGCAAAGGCATAGCCACAATATGCCCCTATCTCGACGGTTAGCGCAACGACATTGATATTGGGCAAGATATTGGGCCTGAACGTTCTTATTTATTCAACACTGCTCTAAAAATGCATACGGTCCTCGACAGATACCTCAATACCGTACACTTTAATTTGGAAAGATAGCATGCCATATCGCGCTGCCAGAACGACTTACGGAAGCAATAGACAAGAACTTGGGCGCGTAAAAAGCAAATCACGTGTACATGCACATGGTTCGCGTATCGAACCAATCTCTCTGTTGCTCGTTCTCCACTCCGGACGCCGGGACGCTGACGCGGAACGATCTGCTTCCTTACCACTGGACCCACTGAAGTTTCTCAATCCACCACAATGGTTCGTCATCATTCAAACTCTATCTATCATCACAACCAAGATCACAACTTATTTACATGGCACAGAAAACAGTACAGACAACCTCCATGTTCTCGACCTTGACTATCATTGGCACTCAGCTCCCAAGACCTATAGCGTTAACCAGGTCAGAGGATTTCCCGCCCCATAAACTGGATGTTTCCCATGGAGTACACGTGCCCACGATGAGGTGGGGTCCGTCGCAGGTTCCTCGGGGTGCAGGTCACCTATCCTTGAGGCTGGGGAAGCGCATCTCGGGGGGTAGCTCCGGCGTTGCTTATGAGGCAGAAGTCCTGAGCTCTGGCACAGAGGAAAGCAACATCATACCCTCGGACCCATCTCCTCAAGAGCAGCACCTTTGCGTCAAGGTGGCCCGAATCAATCGTTGCCGTACACTCGCAAGGGAAGCGTGGATGTACAGAAAGCTTGGCGGATTACGAGGCATTGTTGCCCCCCATTTCTATGGATTCTTCGCTGCTGATCTACCCGAGACACACCGGCCGTTTCCTCCAAAAGAGGACCTCGTGCACCTGGAACAGGATGACCCAACAGTCGACGAATTTCTACCGGACGACGATCCAGTGGATGGGCAGGGAGGCAGAGACAACTCGAAGTGGTGCGAGTGGCGGCCAAATCCCGACGCACCGATACTAGCCGTCCTCGTCATTTCAAGAGGAGGCGAAACATACTTTGGGAGGGACCACTATGATTCGTCCATGCAGTATGCTACAATGGTTCCGTTTACTTGAGTTGTTCATGTTTGCTCAATGCCCACCTATGTAGGGAAGATGTCCGTGCGGTACTGCTCGACTTATCACGAGCGTCTCTGCTGCATGGAGACTTGCGCCCACCTAATCTTGTCCGTGCCCCCGCAAATGCGATACCTTGCGATTTGCCTGGGTGCGTCCACAAATGGAACATCATCGACCTTGCTCGCGCCTATGCCGTGGATATCCCTGTCAACGCTGCGCTTTACTCCAAGACCGATCGAACTCCCGAAGAAGAAAGCAATCTCAGAACGTGGGACTTTTTCCTAGATATACAACAGTCAAGCTACAGGACTAAACATTTCGCCTTATAACGATATTGGTGCCATTGATATTAATCTATATTACTTTGGAAGGACATTTTCTGTGTTTGTGACTATAGACTGGTCATCAACCCCTCGCTGTATAGCAGCTTGAGCGCGCATGCACGTGGATCAATCATGCTGAAACTCGAACTAGAACGAAATCCGAGTCGACTCTCGGAGGAAAACGTGGGTGGGCAAACATATGATTCCTTGTTACTTAGCGAAAGATATTGTTCATACGAGCACATGCGAGAATTTGGAGAACATTCTATGAAGTACTGTAGTTTTTCGACCTTAGGTTAGCGGTGGCGTGGGAAGTCGGAGATTTAACGCACCTTCCATAACCGTCTGTCCCCCCCTATAAGTTCGGCGGGCCAAGCCGAGGGTGGACAGTTAGTTCGTGCTCGCTCAGCAGGCCTCGACACCGACAACGAAAATGATCATAATGTAAAATATAGGTGTGGTATACACTTTTAATAAGGTCCTGGTGGTGCTCTCAATAATGTTCCCGACATCGACACAAACCAAACCAACCTCGAGCTGGTCATTGGCACAGGTGCTCAAGATGTTGTGCTCACCCCTCCAATCCCGCTATGTATCAAACACTTTGCACTTGTTGGTGCCTTGCCGGTTTATAAAGTACTCAACATGGTCGAGTTCCCACAGTCTTGCTGATTGAGTTCTGGTGGCTCTGGGCTCCGCATGGCCCCTGTCATGGACAATGAGCCTGATGTGGTCTCCAATTCTCTGCAAGTACCTGGATAGAAGGAATCCCCTGAGAACTTAACTAGCTGGGGTGTTTAACATGCAGCAATGGTAGTATAGGCTATCAGAATACTTTGAATAGGATTTCTTTAATATTTTCTAGTAATTTAATTATATTTATGCCTATTTTACGGTATGTCCCCCCTGTTAAGTTCGTGGCTTCAATTATGGGGTGGACTGTCCACCCATGTTAGGTTCGGTTAGTGGGGAGGGGGGTACAGGGGACCGAACCTAAGGTCGAAAAAGTACAGTATATCGAATTCCATAGCGCATGTGGAGATGCGCGATACAACGATCAATTATGTATTACTCAAGGGCAAGCCCAGACAGATACTATAAGTTCGCATCATGGGAATCACCAACAAAAGCTTGCACGTTCACACGTAATACGCAGATAGCAAGTGCTAATTATTTTTCCAATCCGCAAAACATATTCGTGACCTCTCCCAGGGCCCATGCATCTTACGCATGAGACAGCAGCGCCTTCTCTGGAAGGCCCAGTTCACGGCATATCCTGTCCATGTGTTCCCGCTCTTGTTCCGTGCTGTTGTCACCGAACGTTTTATCCATTTCCTCCAGCGTCTACGTACGTTTTGTTAACACGCAATCAGCAATGAACCACATGAAACTCACCCTTCCCTTAGTTTCGGGAAAGAAAAGCCCTGTAACAATTTCAGCGAAATCTTCACAGATAATATCGTGATATGGCTTACAAGAAGTCAGGAACGCCAACAGAGCGAATCCGGCAAAAAAGAAGTATGTTCCTCCGCTTGGAATATTAGTCAACATGGTAGGTGATGCCAGCCCGATGATGCTGAAAAAGGGATTAAGTTTGCGGTTAGGACGAAATTTGATGTTCTCGCACAAACTCATCATCCAGGAAGTGGACGTGGTGATCGAGATTCCAGTAGAGCGGAGGTGGAGCGGAAAGATCTCGCTGGGCAAGACTGCAGGCAGAGGTCAGAGACATCATTTTGTGGTTGGGTTACATTCGTACCCCATCCAATAGGCGCCCAAGAGTATGAAAAATGTGCGTTGTATATGTATACAAACGCTGACAATCGTCAACTCTTTTCCCAACATACATCAAGGTTTGGACGTACCAATAGCGACATGACCTGCAACGGTGTGAGCTGGCCAATCAGAGCTATACGTCGCAACGAGGGAGCCAACTATAATGAGAGAAGAACAGCACCCCAGCGCGCCACTCATAAGGAGAGGTTTACGCCCCAAGGAGTCGAGGAACAAAACGGCGGGAATAGTAAACACAGACTGCCGAGATAATTTAGGACAATTCACGTTCGGCTTTCAGATCTGACTTACGTTTACAATCCCATAAATTCCTGTCGCGAGCAAGGAAGTGGTCGTCGGGTCGAGCCCGAGTTGACCAAATACTACACATAGTCAGCAAACGCTTAGAGACAAGTCACGATCCTTACTTGTGGGTGCATAATAAATCAGTGACTAGGGAATGTCAGCATAGTTGCGAACGTATACCTCTTGGCGACTTACATTCTGACCCTAAGTGCGTTGTCAGTGATTTCACTTTGTGTTATATATAAGAATGACGAACAATGAATTGCTGATAGAACATGCACAAGCAGCCCACCGCAAGTCGCTTGAACTTTGGCCAACTCGATAGGAGCATGAGATAGCTATTTAAAGACCTTCTAATCGGCCCCACGTTGGGGTATGTGCGACTCATATATTCGCGAGAATACCGAACTTCGGCCTTGATTTCGAGAAATTCGAAGCGAATCGCAATATCGTCAACCGGTTTGCGGCGAAGCCACGACAGCGTCTCGAGAGCTTCTTCCTCTCTCCCTTGCTCGACGAGCCAGCGGGGCGAGTATGGCATAACAAGCATCCCGATCCCGAGACACTGAGGCGCAATGATGAGTGAAACATGTCACTTATTCAAAATAAACCTTAGCTCACCAGCGCAGGGAACATCTGGAAGCCAACTGGAACACGCCTGATAATTGCGCTCGTTAGTATACAGGCATATCTAGATAGAACATAAATACCAAGAGGCTTGAGTTTGGCCAGTACATCCATCCGATGGCACGTCGGTATACGGATTGAAGGTCGGCTGTCCGTTCAAGAGCGGGCCGGTAAAGGGTACTCCGGGTGCGCATCTCACGCCGCCTATAAAGGAGGTACCATAGGCAATCCAGTCTGTTTCTCGCAGTGAGCATACGTAGGTTCCTGCTGCTCAAGTCGAACGCTGACGCACAGCTAAAAACAATCTACAACCAAAATTAGACCTCAGCTCCACTGCGACGTAGGTTGATGACCCACTCCTAGCGTTATGCATTGCTGTTGCAGGGCGACTAGTGATCCTCGAATGTTGGCACTAGAGATTTCAGCGAGGTACATGGGTACGACGTGAGTCAATGCGCCAACGGCGAAGCCGCCAACTGCACGACCGCCAAATAGATAACCTAAGCTCTGTAAGTGTCTGGAAACACATTGCATATACCGATCAGATGTACCAGTGGACGTTGCACCAGTTTGTAGCGCAATTCCGAGCTCGAAAATGACAACCATCAACGAGATGTCACGCTTTCGTCCGATCTGTTTGTTTGTCAGCACATCCTCTGATCTACCTTCCCTATGTCAGACTTTACCTTGTCGCAAATAGGTCCATTCACCAGCGAGCCAAACCAAGCACCTACAGACTAAGGTCAGCGGTGGAAACGAATGAAGAGCTCATTGATCGTACACAGTAGCATTGCAGAGACATACCATCCCTGGAATGTTTGTAAGGTTAGTTTAGGTTATCACATCATAATCGTTAAAGTAGACTTCACCTTCAAGGACGCATTCATGTAAACTGATGGAAAAGCAGCTCCGAAAGACTCAATAGCCAATATGTTGCTGACAACGCCCTAAAAGTAGAGATTGAATATTCATCAGTCGTTTAGTTGTCCAGATTCACATGAGAAATCCAGACCTGGTCATAACCAAAAAGCTGGGGGAAACACGCTTAGCACCCACCTGTCAACTTACTGTCAACGCTCAGCCACTCACAAAACCTCCCAACGTCGCGAAGCAGGATATGCCCAGGCTGAAGTATATGACTCGTTATCATAATGGAACTTGAGCAAGACGAAATGCGCACATCAGCTTATTCTCAAAGAGTCCCCGGACACCAATCTGCCCCTCCATCTCTGCGAGATCAAGTCCCGACCAATCTTCCTGAGCTGGGCTTTGAGCAGACAGCTTATTGCTATCGACATGTTCGACATCCTCCGTTGACTTTTCAGACGGGCTATGCGAGCCGTCAGTCTTCAATACCTTCGACATTGTCGCGTTTGTCAGAAGTGACAATGGGAGAAAGACGGAATGTGTGGGAGAGACGCATTGGCCAGAAGACACCAACAGGGGACCAGCGGACCATATTTCATCCCGAAGGCGTTGGTCACGAGCGATGTCCACGAGTGGTGTTAACGAGCGCCGTCTAGCGCTTCCTCGGAGAAAGCTTACCTGCTGACGGTCAGGGACATCACAGAAATAAGTCTCCAAAAGCAGGGCCGTACAGGGCCCGCCAGAACAAACAGGTAGGACCTATTCTAAAACAAATCATCAGCGGTCCGGGGGGATAGAAATAAGTGCTGGCGCGGTGGGTGTCGGTTTGCATATACGACATAGGTGGCCTGTAAACGGAAGGGATGCGACGAAAATAAGTACAGGCGCAGGGGCCGCCAGAATACTTAGGCGGCGGAGCCAGGCTTGAACCAAAGCCTCTGGTCAGATCATGGTTTGTCAATGTTTGTCGACGATTGGTGACCGACCGAATGCCGTATTTCTGGACCTAACCCTCAAGTCTCGGTCAACAGCGAGAGAACAGATAAGTTTATAAGCCATAAGCGTGACATTACGACTGTACTTCTCAGGTATAGAACATCACCTAGATTCTAATACTTCGTATCCCTGACGCGACCGAGCAAAGCGATAGATGATATCCTCCATCTCGATTCGTACATGCGCAGGTTCCTTTGACACCCCATCAAACAACCAGTATGAGGAAAGGATAGATTGTTAATTCCATTTGTGGGGAATGCTCATACACTTGCTAGAGCCTTGGCGGGTAGACCAAGCTCGCGGCAGATGGCCTCCATACGCTCGCGCTCCACGTCGGTCGAGTTATCACCAAACGCACTGTCCATCTCCTCAAGCGTCTTTCCACGCGTCTCGGGGATGAAGAAGAGTGTGGTGAAGAAGGCACAGAGCGAGAAGGCAGCGAAGAAGAAGTACGTCCCGCCGTTCGGGATCTGCGCGAGCATCGTGGGCGAGACGAGACCGATGACGCTATATAACGGAACCGTGAGTAAGGTGGGAAGTCAGAAGATTCTGGGAAGGACGTACAAGTTGGACATCCAGGTGCACGAGGTCGTGATCGAGATGCCCGTAGAACGGAGCTCGAGCGGGAAAATCTCACTGGGAAGCACTAGACATAATGCACAACCAGTCAATGTTTATCCATTAATAGATTGGTGACGTACCCCATCCAATTGGTGCATACGAATATGAGAAGTTGACATCGTAGATGAACACGAAGGCTACGAAAAAGTGTCAGGACACTTGAGACCAGTATACTAGTTAGCGTAAGGTTCACCTATAGCAGCACGACCAGCAGTCATGTGATTTGGCCAGTCGTCGCTGAATGCAGCAACAAGCGAGCCAACAACGACCAGCGCGGCGAAGCAGCCAATAGCCCCGGACATGAGCAAAGGGCGGCGACCAGTGCTGTCGAGGAGAACAACAGCCGGCAAGGTAGATAAGGTCTAAGAAAATGTGATCAGAAACGTGACGGCGACGCGAATGAGAGAATCGTACATTGACAATACCATATACACCGGTAGCCAGAAGAGAGGTAGTAGTCGGGTCAAGGCCAAGTTGGCCAAAGACTTAAGATTGACTGTCAGCCAGAAGCTAAGGGAGGAAAAGGGCAGAAACTCACTTGTAGGCGCGTAGTAGATGATTGCATTGCATCCCTTTGCACCGCCAAATCAGAGCCCGTTAGTTCTGGAGCACTAAGCACTAGCAATGACCAATCACCATGAACTGCTGATAGAACATAACAAGACATCCCACAGCCAGTCGCTTGAACTTCGGCCAGCTCGACACCAGTGCCATATAATTCGCCAGCGCCCGCCCCACGCGCCCATGCTGTCCTTCCTTGGCCCCGCGGGCCTCGGCGGCATACCGTACCTCAGCCTTAATCTCGAGGAACTCGAGTTGCACCGAGCGTGCATCCTCGGGCCGTCGCCGTAAACGGGAGAGCGTTGCGAGCGCCTCGGTCTCACGACCTTGCTCCATCAGCCAGCGCGGCGAGTAAGGCATGAAGATCATGCCGATACCAAGGCAGATTGCGGGGACGAGTTGCAGGCCGACGGGGATGCGCCTACGTTGAATTAGGGTAGATGAGAAGTCGTTGCGATGACACAGGCTGCTCAGGTTGATGGACGCACCAAGAAGCCTGACTTTGCCCCGTGCAGCCGCCGGCGGGAACGTCGTTGTATGGGTCGAAGGTCGGCTGACCATTCAGAAGTGGACCGGTGTAGGGCACTCCTGGGGCACATCGTGTACCGCCGATGTGAGACGTCCCATATGCAATCCAATCTATCAACAGTCCCAAGTGAGTGACCTTGTTACCAGAGGATCGGAGAGTAGAAGGTACTGACAGCTGATGAGGATCTGTACATTCCCAATCATCAACATATGTATGCACTAAATGACATAACGAAGACATACACCAATGGTGATGGAGAGCTGCTGCAGCGCGACAAGCGACCCACGGACGTTCGCGCTGGAGATTTCGGCGAGGTACATCGGCACGACATGAGTCAGAGCGCCCACCGCGAGGCCCGAGACCGCACGTCCACCAAAGAGGTAGCCTGAATCACACAACTTCAGTAAGCAGTGACAAACGCCAGCGCAGTGATTGCGACGCACTCGGAGCGGTCGCGCCGGTCTGGAGGGAGCTACCCAGGAGGAAGATGATAACGTTGACCATGATGTTGCGTCTGCGACCGATCTGAACCACATGCGTCAGCCGAGAGCTTCATATAGAATGTAGGATACATACTCTGTCGCAGATTGGGCCATTAATCAGGGAGCCCAGCCATGCACCTACGAAAGGCCATGAAAACTGATCGTATGACCTGAAGTGAAGATGGATACTCACCAAGGAGGAGCGTCGAGACGAACCAGCCCTATCGAACAAGTAAGGCTGGAGGAGACCACGCCAAAGAGGAAGGCACAAACCTTGAGGTTGGCATCGGTGTAAATTTCCGGAAAGGCCGCTCCGAAGGACTGGATAGCGAGCACATTGCCGACGACGCCCTGATCGTATCCAAACAGCTAGCAGAGGTTCAACGTTAGCATGCCAGTGATGTCCTCAAGGCCCTAAATAGGTTCTGTGAACTCACAAATCCGCCGAGGGTAGCAAAGCACGTTATACCCAACCTTCAAAGGGCGCATATACTCAATGAACATGTACGTCATAGTATCAGAAAGATGGACACGCACACAAAGATGTTCTCGAAGAGTCCCCGGAAGCCGATTTTTCCCTCCATCTCAGCGAGGTCAAGCCTACCACTGGCAGGGCTTTCTGCGGCGCTGATGCGATCATCCGAGGGGGATTTGTCGATGGACCGGCGCTCGGTATGGGCTTTGGCACGGAAAGTATCGCCCTGAACGATGGAGCTCGTCGGTGGGGACGTAGACATGTCTTAGCGCGCCGCTGCGAACGCAATGGTGAGAGGAGAAAAGACAAGAGACTGCCAAGCGGGAGGACGGAATGATATCGCGTTTGGGAGCCGTTGGCCCACTAGTCGTTGATCCGCCTCCCGTCCCCCGCGTTTAAATACAAATGGGGATCGAAAGGCCGAAGCGATCACCAATGGGAACCGCGTGACGGCCGGGGGGATTATTTATGAGGAGCTAGAGGTGGTCGCTTGGGAGCATTTAGGCTCAAGGCTTGAGCCAAAAGTTGGACAGATGCAAATACAACTGAGAGATGTCGGAGAATGTCGGTGAACCTAGCTCGGTGAATACAACCGAGTGCCGAGCACTAGTAGATCCAGGTAAGTATAAGGGTAACTATACAGTCGAACCTCCCATAACCCATACTCTTCGGGAGACGCCAAAAGACATGGGTTATCGGAAATATGGGTTACGACAAAAGGTCGACGAACGCGACCCGAAAAAATGTGACGATAGAACTAAGGCTTACAAATGTACTCTAAAGGGTCCGAAAGCTACCGAAAAGTATGGGGTTTGCTAGCAAAATTGTATGGGGTATTGGGTTCCTGGATCCAAAGGAGACAGGTTCCTGGAGCCGGGTGTAAGGAAAGAAATGTCGTATCCCTCCGATCATCCCGGCTCACGGCCCGCGAGCGCGGATGGCCCGCACCGCAGGAATTATGTATAAATTTGGCAATGTCTCAGTCTCTGCGGCAGCACTTACTGTACACGTGTTCTTTGGGCCCCGCTCGGAAACGGTTAAGTTAAATTAAGTTAAATTATTTGGCCGATTAGGAAGGTGCGAGGAGCTGCAAAACCTGGAGATGTGCACGGTAAAACACCATTTAATGTCAGGTGCTCTGAATGTGCGCAGTGGGCACGGTGTTCGAACTTCGGACCTGGCCAGATGCGTTGACACCCCGACAGTGGTAGCACTGTTGAGGCTTGCGTGACGTTCCTCTAAGCATGACCAGGTTGTCGTAAAAAATAACAATTATTTAGGATAAAACCAGTAGATGTATGCTAGGGGTTGTTGTGTAGACAAACGCGTATAGTGCAGTGATGATCCTTCCGTGGCAACTAAAGTGACATAGCGTCCTTCGGGTCCAGGTGTGCCCACTAGGGCCTTGATGTTCCTGGATCCTTGAAAGGAGACAGGTATAACGAAGAAGTTTTGCAAACTTACGGTCTTCACGGTCCGTTTGCCATCACGGCCCGCTCACCACGTCACTCCCTATTGACAGGTCAACTATGTTCGTGTGCCTCTCACAGCCGCTCACCCATCATTTAGAGAATCAATCGTGCCTCGCTATATAAGTACTAATGAGTTCCAATGACATGTCATCTTCTCCATTCCTCGTCTTTTTCTTATCACGATCAACTCTCTGCCCCTCGGTGTGCTCCAAAAGGAGACTACCTATAGTGCTGGTGACAGAGTATCCTTTGTGTCGAACGCGCTGTTGAAAAAAGCTTTTGATCTTCAGTATGCACGTCGGTGTCAGGACCTATTGCTGTCCCCCCCTGTATATTTATCCTGCCGGTATGTATGTGATACAGAAGGTCGAACAATTTACATGGGTTTTGGAGTGTTTTCGACAATTCACTAAAAGGATTATAAAAATATTACTAACTTTCATAATGTACCCGTAGGAGTTTACGATAAAAAGGATTGGCTGCATGGTTGTCTATTATGATCAATAGGCTATGATGATTTTGGCATACTATACATGGTTTTGCCGTCAATCAACGGAGTGGGTATGCATCTGTAAAAGTATCCCGGGTCCCCGTTCGAGGTTTTGCTCGATCTTTGCTCGCGGCCGGGCTTGTGGAGAGTACGCCTCTGAGCGCTGAAAAGGAACAAATTCGAATGTCAGATGCCTAAATTACAAAGCGGTAATAGTGTCTCTTTGGCCTTTGGATCCAGGTATGCCCGTCAGGGCCTTGATTTATCAGAGAGTTATGGGTTTGAGGACCCATTTGGGTGAGGACCAACTCGGGAGTAGCCCCTTTGTATGGGTTATCAGGGGTATGGGTTACTGCGCTTAGCTAGAACGTGAGAACCTTTGGCTTCAAGCGGCTGTTCGGCTCGTTCGGCTCAATCGCACCCTTACTCAGAGCTCTTCAAGACTTACCAGGCATCCTCATTCTTATGGCTGAGTTCTTGCACAAGCAGCCTTCAACAGCCTACTATCGAATCATGGACTGGAAGCCGAACGTACATCCGCGATGGTAAGCAGCAGACATGTTTCTTCACATGAACACAACATCACACTGATTAGAGCACAGTATCCATGTTTTCTACATTGACTATCACAGGCGTCGACATCCCAAACGCCATAACATTAGCTAGGACCGAGGACTTTCCGGCTCACCAGTTCGCTTACCAGGAGGGTGTATATCACAGCAAACCGACCTAGCAATCATCCTGGTTTCCCCAGAACGCTGGTCACTTGTCTCTCAGGCTTACAGAGCGCATCTCTGGAGGCAGATCCGCCGTTGTCTACGCTGCGGAGGTACTCCCTGGCAACACCAACGCCGGCGACGGTGGCGTCGCTAAGTTTTGACTCGCTCCCGAACCGGATCCGTGCGTCAAGGTCGCGCGGTTCAATCGATGTCGCACACTCGCGCGAGAAGCCTGGGGATACGACAAGTCGCGCCGCCGCGCCCGCGGGCACGATGCGTGGCAGTACGACCAGCTTCCTCCCGACGAGAAGCTCCAGGGCATCATAGCGCCCCGCTTTTACGGGGTTTTCACCGCCGAATTGCTTCCTGGGCAATTTTCTCCTTGGTCCGCTGAAGACTTCAACTTCGAGACTGCCTAGGACGAGGATCCGTCTGACAGTGAGGACGAGATGTCGGATGAGTTTCTGTCGGACGACAAAACGATGCACGCAGAGCAACTCTGGTATGACCACGGTCCGGGGGGAAGAGAGCAGTTAAAATGGTGCCGTTGGCGCCCGGATCCCGTAGCGCCGGTCTTGGCTGTCATGGTCATGTCGCGTGGGGGACCGACCTATACGTTCGAGGACCACATGTATCCAGCGACGCAGTACATTGTAATCAGCATAATACAAGTGTTTTCATTCCTAACCCGGCTTGCCCAGAGACGACGTCCGTGCGATTCTCGATGACCTGTCTCTGGCATCCCTCGTCCGGCGTCAACGCTGCCCTGCGAACGCCACAAGTGCACGCACAAGTGGAACGTCATCGATTTTTCTAGAGCTTGCGTCGACGGCTACGGTCCGGAGAAACCGCATACAGACGAATGGCACGCGAAGCAGATGGTCCATAATATACAGAATTGCAGTTACCCAGAGACGGACACCTTTTTTTACCGGTGATACAAAGGGATAGCAGGCGTTGGTGCTCAAGCATCTGAGCGTGTAACTTACTCTCAGCCGTGCAAAATGGTGATGTGTTGTGAGCCCACACAATACAGTAAGTAAGTAGCACAAATCGACACAAGTATCTCACCCCACAGCCAACCTCGCGCGTGCACCCTGATATCACTCAAAATATCCTCCACCCTTACCCTCACTCCCAAGCACAAGCGCCCAAGCCCTAAGTCTAAGGCCCCGGCACAACCCCCTGCACCTCCCACTGCTGCGCCGCGCTCGCCGCATACGCCTCGCGCAGCTGGCTCGTCATCGGATCAACGAGGTTCCGAAGCGCCGCGAGCATCGCGCTCGCGGTCATCTGCAGGCTCCACACGCCGACGGCCTTGACGCGCCGGTTCATGTTCGCCTGCGTGACGTGGTACGCGAGCGCGTCGTATGTCTGCGGGGAGGGTGAGTCAGATGAGGTGGAGGAGGAAGAGGAAGGGAGGGGAGGGAGGGATGTGCAATGTACCTTGAGTGCGATCTCGTCCATGAGACCCGTTTCCCACATCTGCATCATCGCAATATCGTTAGTCTCCGCGTCTCCGAGAGCAAGACAGGAAAAGCGGGAACACACCGTCCAAGCACCGTCAAAGTCGCCTAAGTCCTTCGCGATCTGGCAATGTATGGGCACGAGCGTGTGGTGGGCACTATTGGTGAAAAACGCACGCGCACAAACAATCGTGAGCGGCAAGCGGAGACGACGTAGAGACGCAACGCACTTCATGAACGCAACAATCGGCCTGATCAGCGCGCTGTTCACGTACGACATCTCCCGCGGGAACAGCGGCAGCGCCGCCTTCAGATCTCTAAACCTCAGATCCACATCAATCACCACCCGCCTCCGCCCCGTCGCTAGTCCCGGCGCTGGCCCCGGCGCGGAAACGCCCTCCGCTACGACACGTCCATCTCCATCCCCAAGGCCTACAACGACAACACCACCACCCTCGGTCCCAGTCCCGGCCCCCGCCTCAGCTTCCGCATGCCCCATCACCCCCCGCTCCCCCGCCCTCGGCGGCGCACTCAACGGCGGCTTCGCCAGCGCCCGCTGCCCCGGAATCCGTCCGTCCTTATCCACACCCCCAAACCCCAGCAGCGCCTCGGACGCGCTCGTCCCCGCCGCAGACGCCTTCGCCGCCGCGACCGATATCGCGTCCGCGAGCTCGCCCAGAATCGCGTTGAACGCCGAGTCGTCCTCGTCCTCGTCGTAGTCGTCGTAGTCATAGTTGTCTGCGTCGCGGGAGGAAGAGGATGAGAGCAGCGGGGCGGGGGCGCTGTCGCGCCGGGGGAACTTGATGTCGAGCACGCCGTCGACTTTGCCTGACGTGAGCCATGAAAGCGGGCCGTCGGGCTCGGTGGTGGAGTTTTGCATGTGGTCGATGTTGACGCCGTCGATCCGGATACGGGTCTGCCGATGTCAATTCCGATCAGCTCCATAAAAAGAGGAATATGAAAACGCACCATCCTCGCCCACTTCCCGTCCCTCAAATCCCGCTCCGTCGTCCGCCCAATATTCTGCGGCTTGTGCAGGCTAAACAGGCAATTATCAAACTGCCCAACCACGTTCTCCGCCCTCAGAAAGTCGTAGAACAGCCACTGCTTGCGGAAGCGCCGGATGTCCGCGCGGAAGATGGACGCAGTGTATGGCCGGAAGCCGCCCGGCTGGTACACCGTGACGAGCACATCCTCGAGCGCGAGCGACGCGAGCTCGAAGTCGCCCGGCTGCGGCGCGTGGCGGTACGCCGCTGGCTCGGGCGGGTTGTCTGGGTCCCAGAACACGGAGCGGCGGTCTGCAGGACGCCGGCGCCAAGTTAGCAAATTGGCATAACGTAGATGGATGCAAGCGGATGGAAAAAACGCACCGAGCACCCCGCGCACGCCCTTGATCACCGCGTCCTCGATGAGCCCTTTGCCATCGAACCATCTCCCGAGCGACAGCGTCACGTCGATCGAATCCACATTCAGATCAAACATCGAATAGTTCTCGTCCTCTTCCTCACACCCCGTCGTCGGCCGCCGATGGCCATCCTCGTCATCCTCCCCATCCCCGCTATAATTGTACGCAGGATGCGCGCTGACATCATAACCCACCGCCGCACGGTGCCCGCTCGCGGCCGGCGTGATCCCCCACTCGCCAACACCCGCCATAGGCGGCGGAGGCAGGGCGCGGAGGCGGAGGGGTCGGCGGGAGATGTAGACGTTGCGGAAGGAGATGCGGGAGTCTTTCCATTTGGGCACGACGGCGGACTCGAAGATGATGGTGATGCCGGTCTCGCTGGTGAGGTAGTTGCTTATCGAGCGTGCGACGTATTCTGTCGATTAGGTTTGAGCATTGAGTCCGAGAGGGGGAGATAAAACGGATGGGAGGGGGGAAGGAGGGAGGGGAAAGGAGGGGGTAAATGCTCACCTTGCAAGCGTAGGCTGTTTGCGGTTGCGAATATGACTGAGAAGAATGTCGTTCTGCAAGGCTGCGAGTGAGCACTAGGCCACGGATGTATGAAAGGAGGTAGGGAGGACGCACGTTCCGACAAATATCCACAGGGTCTGGCTCATAAGGAACCAGGTAATGAAAGCGGATATATCGTCTGCGTTGAACTTTCGAAACGAGCGGATGGTGAACCACTTCCAACGGATGCGGAGGCGTGCCCAGAAGCCTGTTGCTACGCGGAGGAGGTCGTCTCTTGTCGGCCGGTGCATGTGTGAGAGGGAGGAGGCGAGACGGCGGTATAAGCGAGGGTAGTTGTCGTAGTTGAGTGGTGGTGGCGCATCGTCAGGTCTCGCTGGTGGTTCTGGTTGTGCAGGAGCGGTAGATGGAGCATGGTCTTTGTCTGGGGGTCGAGTACCCAATTTTTCTTCGTTTTGAGAGCCAGGAGATGCGGAATTGGTGTCGGTGTGTTTATAGCGTGTGTGGTAGACACCAAAAGCAAGAAGGCATCTTCTTCTATGCTCTACAAGAAGAGTATACCCCGTGACACCCTCTTTGGGTGCTGGTTGCGAGTGAAAAGGTGACTGTTGCTGCCTGAAAAACGAGCGTATTGCGCTGTAGCGATCGACGGTGTGCTTCTGCACGCCCGCACTAGTGTGTAGATATACATTTCCCCCGCCGCGAGTTGCTGTGCGCGCAGCAAGAGAGCGTAGGGCGAGGGGGTGGGGGATGGGCATGGTGGGGAGCAGCGTGCGTTCTTTGTTTCTTTGCAAACTCAGGGGTGTCGTCATATGGCCAATGTTCTCACGATTGTCTTATAGATCCCGATCGTCCCCTCGCGTCCGATCGCGTCCCGAGCTTCCATCGACCGTGGTCTCCGTCGGGAGGTCCATCAAGAATGCCCAGTCAAGTTCGCATCGTTGCTCTCTCTTTTTCTTTTCTGCGTCGACCATGCCTTCATCTCTAGAACAATATGCCTACAACCTCCTCGACAAGGTGAACTCCAAGTTTGCAGAGATTAAAAGATAAAGCTGACAACGAACAGGGCGTTATACCAGACTTCATTGTTCGCATCGCCATTCGCGCCCTTCTCCGTCAACGTCTTCGCGAAATAGACAGTGGCTCCTTTGAAGCCAGCCATGCCGCCAAGATGAAGTGGATAGAAGACGTGCGCGCTCGCAAGACCGTCGCAGAGCAGACGGACAAGGCCAACGAGCAACACTATGAAGTCAGTCGCGCGCTCATGTTTCTCCGAGTCTGTTCGTCGCGTCTCTAACGCGTATGAATCTAGGTTTCCACAGAATTTATTCTCTCGTGCCTTGGACCATATGCCAAGTACTCCTCGTGTCTATATCCCACTGGCAAGGAGACCCTTGCCGAGGCTGAGGTCCTCATGCTGAACAGCTACTGCGAGAAAGCACAGCTAGTTGACGGTCTTGATATCCTTGACCTTGGCTGTGGTGAGCTTCCCATCTTCTCTGTCTTGAAGAGGCCTAACAACGCTTAGGATGGGGCAGCCTGTCGCTCTTCCTCGCCGAAGTATATCCTTGCTGTCTCCTTCGGCCTTCCTGTTCTAACTTCTCTCGCAGAGATACCCCAAGTCCAGAATAACAGGTCTCTCGAACTCGAGTACCCAGAAGGCATATATTGATGCAACCGCGAAGGAGAAAGGATTGACGAATGTCACAGTACGCATATGTGTCTAGCTTATGCCTCATCTCAGTTGAGCAAAAGCTCGAATAGATCATCACGGCAGACGTGAACTACTACAATTTCGACGAAAACACACGGTACATACCTCACGCATATACTGAGTAACAACACCTCTGACATCTCTCCCCGAACCAGCTTCGACCGCATCCTATCCATCGAGGTACACCCACCAACACGCCTCACCGTCCCCCCCTAACCCAGCTCACATCGCCCCACAGATGTTCGAGCACATGAAGAACTACCATGCCCTCCTCTGCAAAGTCGCGTCGTGGCTCAAGCCCCACAGCACCGCGCACGGCGACTCCCTCCTCTTCGTGCACATCTTCTGCCACCGCACCACGCCGTACCACTTCGTCGACGACAACGGCTGGATGGCGCAGACGTTCTTCTCGGGCGGGACGATGCCGTCCCACGATCTCTTTGTGCGTCCCTCCCTGCCTCTTTCCTCCCTTCCGCCCATCTAATCTCTCTCTCTCTCCTTTCACTCACATAACTGTAACACCAACTCTAAACACACGCACGCGGGCGGACAGACCTACTTCCAAGACGACCTCACCCTCCTCCGGAGCTGGTACCTCTCCGGTGCACACTACTCGCGCACGCTCGAAGACTGGCTCCGCAAGCAAGACGCGCACGGCGCGCGCGGGCTCGCCGAGCTCGAGCGGGACGCGGACAAGAAAGGCGTGCCGCGCGCGGAGGGAAGGAAGGCGTTCTACCGGTTCCGCGTGTTTTATATGGCGTGCTCGGAGCTGTTTGCGTTTAATGGTGGACAGGAGTGCGTTTCTCCTCCCCTCTCCTTCCCTTCCTCGTTGTGGTTCTTGGTTGCTGAATCGTGCTCACGCATAGATGGGGTGTCGGGCATTACCTCTTCAAGCCCAAGCACTAGTGGACGCTGATTTGAAGTGGCCATAAGCTCGCACTCTGAGTCTATCCCTTCCAGTTCCAGAGCACATCCATTACGGTGTTAGCACGGTATCTAGATAAATATATGTACATCTTGTGCACCTAATTCCGCGTGATAGCAGTAGCAACATGGCGAAGGATTCGCGAGAGGTATACGGCACCGAGACAAGCTCGAGGGCTGGAATGAACTTGTTCCAAAAATCACCGCGCCGGGTCAGCCCGTCTGACCGGCTGGTTAGGAGCCTACTCCCTAACTCGACTCGCTTAGCACTGTTTCATCGTCGACTGCTCTACTCTTCACCATGCTTGGAGCCAACACAAGCGAGTCTCTTTGCGTTTTATTAGTCTTTTTCTACACTGACCCGCTCGTATCCCCTTCTAGATGTCAATTGGGATCAGCACGTCTTCAGCGATGCTTTCAACCGCGACTGCGACGCGCAGTCCAAGCGTCTTTCCTCCAGCCCCGCTGGTTCCGAACCCTATGAGCATCTGAAGCTCTGGGAGAGCGACGATACCCCCAGTTTGTCCTCGGTCAGCGTTCCCAAAATCGAAGCGCATCTCTACTTTCACGGCCTCCGCGGCAACAGAAAGCCTGGGCCAAAGCTGGTCTACCGGACGTCGACGGACGTCTTCTTGTCACCGTCCGGGCCGTCGCAAGACCTCCGTTTGATGCAGCTCCTCACCGTCCACGAGCACGCCAAACTCGGCCAGAACAAGCTCTGGGCTACAGTCCGCGATGAGGTTCGTGATCTTCTCGAAGCGTAGCAATCTGCGAACGAACATTCGTTCCAAGGCGGTTGAACTCCTCGACGGTAAAGGCATCAAGCACACCTCCGTCGACCTCGTCCGCTTCCGTTGGGAGGAGAAGACCGAGGATGGTCGCGGCAAGACCGTTACCAGTTCCGTTACCATCTGGATCGGTGTCCTTTCCGACAGCACGAACGGCGACGCCGCTTTCGACTCTGCTCAGGACATCATCAGGCTCCTCAGGGGGCACGGCATTTGCGATGTCGAAGTTGCTTATCGCGAGTCGGGGTCTCATCCTCTCGTTGGTCCCGCCCTATATGCCCCGGTCAGCAATGTCCACCCGCTCAAGAGCGTCGTCGATTGGGTCACGACTGCTCTCAGCCTGCCCATCGCTGGGTTGAAGACGCTCCACATGCAGGGCACCTTGGGTTTCTACTTCAAGATCGGCGAGGATCTCTATGGCGTCACTGCACGCCACGTGTTGTTCCCCGACAGCGAAGGCAACGACAACTACGTCTTCGATACCTGTACACCTGTTTCCTCTGTCTCCTTCCAGAAGACGAGCGGATTTCTGACTACACCTGCATAGCCACTCCCAAGAAGAAAGTCGTCCTCATGGGCAACAAAGCATTCGACGACCTTCTCGCGTCCATTCAGGCCCTTATCGGCACGCTGAACAACACCGTCGTCGTCTTGGAGAAGAGCGTCACCAGGCACACGGCGAGGGCGCAGGGCGGCAACCCACAGGCGGCGGCGGAATTGGCCAAGTTCCAACAGCGACTGGACGACACGAAGGCGACGATCGTCGAGCTCAGGGGCTTCTTCGCGACGTTAAAGAAGGACTGGTCGGATGTCGACAATCGCGTCATTGGACAGGTCGTCTGGTCCCCGCCCATCACCGGCCTCATCGCCCCTCACGGCTACACACGCGACGTCTGCGTAATCAAGTTGGACAAGCAGAAGTTCTTGCCGAACTTTAGGGGCAACGTGGTCGACCTTGGTACGTGCTGAGCTGTTTTGACTAAATGTGCGCAATCTAACTGTTTATCTTCTAGGCACAGAGATCGAGTCCGGGAAATTCATGAATCTCGTCTACCCTCGGTACGATGTGCCCTCCAAGTTTGACTACCCCGAGGACCGCCTCTATCTCCTCGAAGTCATTCTCGACGCCGCCAAGATCAAGGAGCCGAACAGCCAGGATCTCAAGGGCGACCCTACGCGATTCGTCTTCAAGCGCGGCCACACCACGTTCACTACCGTCGGTCGTCTGAACGGGTTCGAGTCCCATGAGCGTCGCTACGGCCTCCTCGGCAGCTTCGACTCGGTCGAGGCGGCGGTGTACCCGTACGACAACAATTCGGGTCCGTTCTCTCGGGGCGGCGACTCTGGCGCTGTCATCGTCGGTGTCAACAACGACTTCGTCGCCCAGCTCACTGGCGGTGCTGGCGCGACCGACTCGTCCGACATCACCTACGGTACCCCCATGGAGTGGCTCTGGAACAACGTCATCAAGCAGGAGTTCCCCAACGCCGTCCTCTTCTTCGAGGCTCCCGCCGGTTACTAGGTTCGTCACTTTCTCTTTCGTTTCCATCGTTACTTTGCGACTGACAACGTCCACGTCCAGGCCCTTGCGAGACGCTCTCGCGCCTGGTTTTTCTTCTTCAACAACAACAACTTCTCGACGCTCTCCTCTCCCCCACGCTCATTGTATCCTGCGACTCATTCTCGTTTCTTGGTCTCCAGTTTTTGTTTCGGTTGGGTTATCGGCGCAGACAGGTGCTAAGTTGATCTCATATTGATCAGGGCAAAACAGTAATATGTACCTAGTGTAAGCAGCGCCGTAAGCCCCAAGTCTCTGTCTATGATGTAGGGGGGTGTAGGCGTTCCAGTGTTCCATAGTCCCGTCTCCGGTCCTTCAGCGTCAATTCATCCAGCACCCAGCACCCAGCACCCAGCCTGAGCCAGCACTCGTATTAACTCGGCCAACCAGACTCGTCTAATCCGACACCGACCCGCCACCGCCAGCAGCACAGCTCACCCACGCCTCCCGCACACTCTCCAGCTCCCGCGTCCACTCCTTGTAGTCCGCCGCGAGCCGCGCGAACTCGTCCGGGTCCAGCAGACCCATCCCGCTGCCCATTCCATTCCCATTCCCATTGCCGTTGCCGTTGCCGTTGCCGCTGCCGCTGCCCAATACATTTTCTGCGCCGACACCAAAGCCCCTATTCCCCGCGCGGTCGGTGCCAGCGGAATCCGATGACTCGTCGTCGAACTCGCCGCTGTCGAGTGCGGCGCGCAGCGCGCGGTTCTGCCCGACCACCTGCGAGAACGTGTCGATGTACGCGCCGTACGAGGCCTCGTACCGCGCGCGGAGGGCCACGGGGTCCGCGGGGAGCGGCTCGGTCGGCGGGCGCGGGCGCTGTGTTGAAGGCGAGGGAGAGTGGGTGTGCGAATGCGAATGCGCGGTCGGAGCGCCCGGGGCCGCGTTGGAGGCCGCGTTGGGGTGCGCGTGCGTTCGCTGTGCGGGCTTGCGCTCCCGGTCCCGGTCCCGGTCGCGCTCCTGCTCGCGCGCAGGCCGACTGGGAGCGGCGGTCGCGGGCTCGCGTTTCTTCGAGGCCGTGAGCCGGATCTCGCCCTCGTCTTCCTCGCTGCTCGATGTATATATGGGCGAGCGCCGACGCGGTTTCGGCTTCTCCTTCTCCTTCTCCTTCTCCTTCTCCCTCTCCCTCTCCCTTTCTCGCTCTCGCCCGCGATCCCGATCTCGGTCCCGCTCGCCATCCCGCTCGCGCGCAAGCGGAGTCGACGAAGCCGATACCTTCCTCCCCGCATCCCTCTCCCTCTCCCTTTCCTTCTCTCTATCTCGCCTCTCGCGCTCACGCTCGCGATCCCGCTCTCGCTCCTGCGTCGGAGTCGAAGTCGAAGTTGCCGACGACTGCGGCTGCTTCCTAATTTTGGGCAGCTGCGCCGCCGGGAGCGTGTTCATGTTCACGCCCAAGCTCTGCACAGGCTTGCTCGGCAGCGGATGGTCCTTCCTCGCTGCTGCTGCCGCCGCCGCCGCCGCCGCCGCCGTAGCTGCCGTAGCTGCCGACCCTGACCCGTTCGTGGTAGTCGTCGTCGCCGACGTCTCGTTCGACCCAGAGCCCGAGCCCGAGCCAGAAACAGAGCGAGAGGCTGACCCTGATCCCGACGCAGACGCATCATTGGACGCAGAAGACGCCGACACCGACGCGGAAATACCAGGTGCCTCAGGCCTCCGCTTCTTCGACGCCGCCTGCGACGGCGGTGGCGGCTCGTCGTCTTCCTCAATCATCCCCTCTTCCACCTCTGTCGCGCGCCGCTGCTTCCTTGGAGGCGGAGGCGGTGACGCCTCGTCGACGAGGCGGTCCTCCTTGTCCCGTTTCTTACTCCTCTCGGGGTCTCGATCTCGGTCCCGATCCCGCTCCCGCTGTTGCTCCAGGCGTCGTTTCTTGGGTGGCGACTGGTCTTCGTCGATGAGGCCCTCCTCTCTGTCCCTGTCTCTTCCTCGGTCTCTGTTATCCCGGTCTTTGTCCCTTGCCCTCTCTCTATCGCGGTCGCGGTCCCTGTCTCTGTCTCTGTCTCTGTCCCGGACCCGGTCACGATGATCCCGGTCTCTATCGCGCTCTTTATCGCGTCCGCGCTCGCGGTCACGTTCCCTATCCTTCTCGCGCGGCTCCTCTCGGCGCTTCTTCGGGGGCGACTCGTGTTCGTCAATCACACCCTCCTCCCGATCCCGGTCTCTGTCTCGGTCGCGGGCAACAAGCTTGCGCTTGAGACCTGCCCTATCCCCGTCCCGTTCCCTGTCTCTGTCTCTTTCCCTTTCGTGTTCGCGGTCCGAGTACGCGTCGTCTGCAGGACGCTGCTGCTTGGCTGCCTTCCCGAGCTTCGACGGCGCGCTCGCCGACGCATGCATCCCCTGCGAAGAGCTCCCGGGCTTCTTCTCACCAGCACCCCCGCTATATGACGACGATGCTGTCACCGACGACGCCGGCGGAGGTGGTTTCGGCGGCAGCGAGGCGTAGCCTGCCGGCTTTCCCTGGCCTTGGCCTTGCGGATCAGCTCTGCGGTGCGCCGGAGACGATGACGACGACGGCGGAAGCTCTCCGGGCGACGCTCTCGGTGAGCCCTTCGCATTCACGGCCTTGAACCCCGACCCGGGCAGCCTTCGCTTCGCACCACCCGTGCTGCCCGCCGCGGACCCGCCGGCGCTCGACGCTGGGCTCGCAGCACGCGCGTTGGCATTGGCATTGGCAGTGGCAGTTGCAGCTGCAGGCGCAGCAGCGCGTTCGGGGACACCTTCCTCGCGCTTGATCGACGACACGCGCGCGGGCGCCGCTGACGCCGCCGCGGCAGCACGGGAGGAGGAAGAGTGGGAGCTCTCGTCTTTCATCTGTATGTCCCCGGCGTCCGCGGCCCGCGCGGCGCGGGCTTTCGCCGCTTTTTCCTTCACTTCCTTGGACATCAGCGGGCGCTTGGGCTCTGCCGAGGTGGAAGCGAGGCCACCTTTGGTGCTCGAGGTTGATGTGGACGCGGCTATGCCCGGTGCCGCTGGGGTGTTAGCCGATGCGGAGGAGGACGAAGAGGAGGCGGGGAGAACGGGGCCGGTGTTGCGGAAGCGCATGTGGTCCCAGACGGGGTCGTCTTCGGGGATCTTGAGGTCGTGTAGAGCGCGCCGGGCGTGGCGTGCCATCGTCGTGCGCTCGCCCTCTGTTAGCTTTGGCCAGTCGTATGGGCGGACGTCGGCCCAGGAGGCGGTCTTGAGCTGCCATGGCGCGTTGGCTTTGTTCTCGCCTTTCTTGGCGGGTACTTGTTCGCCCACCTATAGTACATTATTCATTAGTATGATGTTTTAGCATGGGTATATGCGTCGTTGGTAAAGTTAGGGCCAAAGGCCGATTTAAATGGGAGAAAACGAACCTCGTGTAAGAGTGTGAGGAGGTCCGCACGCGTCGCTGCATCAGCGGCGGTGCCTCCGACGAGCCGAATAACCTCGTCAGCAGGACGCGGGGACCGAACCGCGAGACAATGGATGAGGCGCTTGCGGACGCCAGGTCCCACGCGGCTGGAGGAGGCAGACGGGGCCGGTGAGGCCGTCCGTCCCTGTGACGTGCTCGGTACGCGCAGGGCCTCGCTCTGTACCTGGCTCTTCTTCAGGAACGCGCTCTGCAGCGGCAGCTTGCGCTTCATGCCCGCCTTGGCCGCCGTGCTGCTGCCCGTCTTGGACGAGGGCGCCTTGGAGTGGAGGAGCGGGTCGTCGATCATGATGGCGCGGCGCTCGGTGTGGGCTTTCTCCATGTCCTTTGTGCGGTCCTTGATCTTGCCGGTGACCTTTTCGTCGAGGGTGCGCTCGACGCGGAACTTGCCGATGACGTTGGCGTAGAGTTTGAGTGGGGCGGTTGGCTTGGACGCGGACGAGTTGCGGAGGTAGATCTCGTGCGCGGATTTCTCCTTGAGCGCGTTCATGGGGAAGAAGGCGTCGCCGATGTGGATGCCCTGACGATGCAGACGTTAGAACAGGATGTAAGAGGGGTGTATGCGGGGGACGCACGGGGCTGCTGCCAAACTCAAATTCGACCTGGGGCTGAGAGGCGAGGAGGGCATCGAGTGTCTCCTCTGACATACGGACGATCATGGCCTGCTTGGGCTTTGAGCTGCCAGGCTCCCCAGGCCTAGCCTGACTCTGGAGGGAGAGCGTCGCGTTCTCGGGGAGGGGCATGGTGAAGCGACAGTGAGACGTCTGTAGAAAGCTCGAGAGTTAGGGTGGAGGGGGGCGTGTAGGGCACGAGCCCGGGTCGGTGTCGAGCGTTACACCGTCGTCGCGCGTGCTGAGCTCCCTGCAGAGACTGTCCTGCTGGCTGCTGTGGACAGACCGAGGGGATGTTGGGGGAGCGAGCGAGCGATGGGCGTGTGCGGTGCCAGCGTCTCCTCATCCGCCCGTTGTCTCAGCCTCTCAGGGTCCATTTGTCCGTTCTCCGTCACCCGCGGACGTAGCACCGGCCCCAATTGTTCCTGCTCCTCTTCATTACTCCACCACAACTCGCTATTGTAGGCTCTTGTTTTCAGCAACAAAGGCTTGTTGTTTTCAAGATTGCCGTCTTGTGGATGCATTGTGTATACATGCATCCACAAGGCAACAGTGTTCTCTAAACTTTGTTTGACTTGACTTGATGCCCTTCTCACCCTAACGTAAAGCGCTGTTTACCAGTGGCACACCATTCCCTTAGAAGAAGAAGAGAAGCTAAGCCTTAGCGAGCGTTCTTTCGTGACACCAGAATGAAGGAAAATAAATGTCATGTTCAACGTTTCTCGACAGTTGACGCCCGTGCATCTGATCTGCTCAACCCGAAACATTCTGTGTGCGCCAGTCGGACCGGCTCGCATGCACGTTCGTTGGCTACCGCTCACATTCAGGGCCCTCGTCCCAAATCCTGCCGTCACCGTCCACCACCTCGACGCGCCCTCGTGCGCGTGGCAGCGACGCGTCCAGTGTGATTGGCTGCATGGCTGTCCGTCGTCCATCTTGTAAACACCGAAACATGGCTATCGATGCCTCTTCTGCTAGGTATGGCCCCTATCGCCACTTTCCTCGTGTTTCAAGCGACGGCTGTCTTGAAGGCAGACCGAAGCTCGAGGTTTAAAGCCTCACCAAATCATGTTCAGTTTTTCGTGAACAGCCATGCATTTCATCCCTTTACGAGTTCTGGTTCTTGCCGCTGGACTTACTGGTCTCACCCTCTGGCAAAGGTAGGTGGAACATCTTCACTCAATCTCTTCGTTTACACAACTGATGCTTCCACCAGGGAGCTCTACAAGGCAGAGCCCATCCTCAGCTGGTCATCGGTGCTTTGGACGCTCACCATCTGGACCGCCGCTGTGACCTTGGCTGTCAACACCGTCGGAAAGGAACTTTGGCCCTACGTGCGGTTCATCTGGCACTGCTTCATTCAGCCCGTCAAGGGTGCTGACCAGAGAGCGCGACTAGACCAGGTATGTCTCGTTCCCTCCCATTGTCCCGCACAAGCATGCTGATCTCTGGTAGTTCTACGAAGGACAAGCCCATGTCTACGACGCGACTCGCAACAGACTCCTCAGGGGACGAAACACAATGCTGAACCTCTGTGCGGGCCACCTCCGTACCATGCAGCAGACTGCGCCCAAGCAGCGTCTCGTCTGGGTGGACATCGGCGGAGGAACCGGCCACAACATCGAGCTCATGGATAAACACTTCCCCATCTCGTCCTTCGACGCCGTCTACCTCGTCGACCTGTGCGAGCCCCTCCTTCGCGTCGCGCGCGAGCGCTTCGCAAAGAAGGGCTGGAAAAACGTTCACGTGCTCTGCCAGGACGCGTCTGAGTTCTCGCTCCCCGAGTGGGCGGGCAGCGACCCCAAAGGGAGCGTGAGCTTCGTCACGATCAGCTACGCCCTCTCCATGGTGAGTCCTCCTCCTCCGCCTCTATCTCTCCCTTTCCACCCGGCGCTAACCTCGACGGTATTCGCGCGGCAGATACCGAACTTCTACACCCTCCTCGACCGGGTCGACCACGTCCTCTCGCCCGCGCACGGACTCGTCGGCGTCGTCGACTTCTACACATCGGGGAGGCAGCCGTCGCTGCACGAGCGCGCGATCGGCGGGGCGAGCCGCGAGTGCGGCTGGCTCAGCCGCTGGTTCTGGCAGATCTGGTTTGACTTCGACCATGTCTCGCTCTCGCCACACAGGAGGGACTATTTGGAGTACAAGTTCGGCACGGTGAGTGTTTTACAGCGCGGAGCGCGTATGTGCGTTTTGACTTTTGAGTGCTCGGCGCTGATGGCTTCACATTACACGTAGGTGAAGGCCTATAACGGGAGGAACCGTTTCGTGCTTCCGTTCATCGTCCGGATGTACGTTATCTTCCTCTTTCTCCGCCACGTATGCACCACCATCCGAGCTAAAGTCCTCCGTTACTTAGCCCATACTACATCTGGCTCGGCCGCTCGCGCTCATGCGACGTGTCCCGGTTCTGCCACGCGTTCGAGGTCGAGGGCGGCAACATGATCGGGAACTGCTCGCCTGTCCCGTTCACAGCCGTTAGCGCATCCCCCGCCGAGGAAAAGGAGATCCCGGCGCTCGAGATCGGCGAGCCGGTTATGGATCCAGAGGTTGGGGGGCGCACGGTGGGGCAGGCGACGATTGTTAATATCACGCCGCCGTTGAGCTCTTTCCACTATGGGATCGGGAAGGTGCGTGCTCTAGATTGGCGGTTACCCTGAGGTCTTGCGCTGAGCTAGTGACGGCTTCTAGCCGTGGCGTCTTCCATACTATGAGCAGCCTATTCACAAGGAGTTTAGAACGTTCATATACTCGTTTACATGGGTATGTGCTGTCTCTCCAAGGGTGCTCTTTGGAGACCGGAGACGATATATCTGATTGTCATTGACCGTGTGTAGGAGGACCCCATGGAAGATATGAAGTACCTCGAGCTCTCAAAAGACGACTCGATGCTCGTCATCACCTCTGCGGGCGACAATGCGCTGCACTATGCCATCGCTGCTCAGCCTAAGCGAGTAAGCAATTTCTAAGCCCCTATTTCTGCCGCAAAACACTCAACCACCCTGCGCAGATTCACTGCGTGGACATGAACCCGTGGTAAGCACCAATCCTCGCCTAGATGCTTGCAGCTCCCTCATCCCTTCTAGTCAAGGCCACCTCCTCGAGCTCAAGCTCGCCGCCCTCTCCGCTCTCTCGCACGATGACTTCTTCCAGCTCTTCGGCGCAGGCCGCCACCCCTCCTTCCGCGCGCTGCTCGACGCGCGCCTCGCGCCATTGCTCTCCTCCACCGCATACCAGTTCTGGCGTATCAACGAGCGCGCGTTCGACTCCGGCTTCTACCTGCAGGGCTACGCCGGCTGGGCCTTGCGCCTCGCGCAGCTCGTGTTCACGCTCGCGGGCGTGCGCGCGGACGCGGAGGCGCTGTGCAGCGCAGGCAGCGTCGCGGAGCAGGAGCGCATCTGGCGCGAGCGGCTGCGGCCGGTGCTGCTCAGCGCGCCGGTCGTCGCGGTCCTGAGGAGCCCGGTGTTTTGCTGGAACGCGCTGGGCGTGCCGCTGAACCAGCGGAGGATGTTGATGGAGGAGGGGAGCGTGTATGAGTTTGTGAGGGATACGTTCGATCCGTTGCCTGGGACGTGGTCGTTCAGGGATGACGCGTATTTCTATCCTTTGGTGAGCGTTTTTGAGGCGTGGTTAGTGGGTTGAGGTATCATTCATTGACTGTACTTTCTGATAGGCTTTGACGGGGCACTATACCCGCACGTCCTGCCCTGCGTATCTCACACCTTCAGGGTATGAGACGCTTCGGGCGAATAAGGGAGAGGCGATGGACGCTTTCCGTCTGCACACGGACTCGATCATCAAGTGAGCGATAACTCCAATATTACAGCGACGTATCATCTGACGGAGATGACCTCTCAGTGTCCTCCGCGGTCTAACGGACTCCTCGCTGACTCGAGCCGTGATCATGGACCACCTCGATTGGTTTGCGCCCGGCTCCAAGGACGTAGACGAAGAAGTCGCGGAGTTCCACAGGGTACTATCGTCCGGCGGCTTTGTGCTATGGCGCTCGGCAGCTCGTAAGCCCTGGTACGCTGAAGTGTACGTGTCCAAACCCGGTGTGTGAGCGACTTTGTGCTCATACAGCCCTGCTTTTTTCAGCTTTGAGCGCCAGGGATTTGTCGTTACACCCATCAGTGTCAGGAAGGGCCCCGAAGTTGCGCTTGATAGGGTCAACATGTGCGTCACTCCGTCGACCCTTGCATCTCTTCAGTTACTAACCCAGTCTATTGCAGGTACGCGTCGTTCTACCGGGCTGTGAAGGTCTAACCATTCATGTATTTTATCTTGTTCATTTGTACTATAAGGGTAGATAATTTTTGTTGTAAAGCCAGGCCTATAGACGTCTTCAATTTTCAAAGTATGTTATTACAGGCACCCACTGAGCTGGCAGGGATTTTCAGAGCAAGCTAATCCCTCCTCTTTCGCCACATCACCGTCGCCGTAGGATGCGGGGAGAGCGTTTCGGCGAAGGACAAGTCCTTTGGACGGACACCTTCATCCGCCAGTTTGATGTCGTAGTTGGTGACCACATGAGCTAGCATAGTCTTCAGCTCGTTGGCAGCGAAGAACCGGCCCGGGCTGTCGATCGGTCGCCTTCGTTCAGTTCTTATTCTGAGTAAATGAATTGTTCCGGCACTCACCAAGCATGTTTACCGTATCCAAAGTTGAGGAACGATGGGCTGGGTGTGACCATGTGGTGCTTCAGACCTTCCCCTTCTTCGTCCCGCATGTCGGCAAACCGGAATGGCTTGAACACCTCTGGGTCTTCGTAGATTTCGGGGTCGCGATGCACCGCCGACGAGGCCGAGAAAACAAATGTGCCCTTGGGGATCATGGTTCCGTCTGAAAAGGTGAAGTCCTTGGTTGCCTTGCGGCCTAGCAGCACTGATGCAGTCATCCTCAGTACCTGCAATCTACAAGACGGGGTGAACGATGATACGCACTCTGTCCGATGGTGTTGAGACGGGCTGACTCTTTCAGGAAGCTGTCGATCTTCCGCATTTTGACAAGAGCCGTCTTGGACCAGCCTTCGGTCTCGACTACGGCGTCGACTTCCTCACGAAGAGGCTTGATCCACGCCGGGTTCGCGGCAAGGTTGAAGAGGGCGTGTGTGAAGCTCTGAGAGCAGTGACCCGTCTTAGCTCATGATTCACGCTGGTCCCCAGTGCCACGTACCATGGAGGACGTCTGCAGATGCAGCAATAAGTTATTCATCCGCCACGAAGAACCAATGTATAACCCACATGGATGGCTGCAAAGTTGATCGTCAGCATGCGCATGGTGAGTTGCTTCACATTGCGTTGTCGGTTGTCGGATATGTCTATGAGCCACGAAAGAAAATCGTTCTTTAGAGGCAGATGGTCAAGGACACGATTAGAAGGAGAAATCGTCGTGATCAAGCTCCACTCACTGGCTTTCCGGCATAATCATTCCCTTCTTCCTCGATCCTTTTCAGGCGCTCCTCGGTTACAGGGCGGAGGTACAATATTGCTTCCTCGGCATCGGACTGAGACTTGGTCAGGTATCGAGCGACCAAGCTTTGTAGTACGATGAGAATGAGCTAAATCAAAGGATACCATCACTCACGGAGCCAGAAACCGAGGGAAGCATTTGATGATTACGCCTCCCTTCACAACATCAACGGTGTGGCGAGTCATAAGATTCTTGTACCCTGGCTCGCGACCTAACAGGGCATCAATCATCTGCGTCTTTGGTGTATCAAAATGAACACATACAAAGAGGCAGGCCGACAAATATGCGGTTGCTGGTGCGGCAGACAACCTGCATCATTGCTGGAAGAGCTGGTACCTCGAGCCAATCTGTAACGACCTCAGCCACATCTACTCAGTAAGCTTAGGAGGGTCTGCGTACCATCGCCTTTTAGTGGTATCTCATCCCGGAAACTCGCGGCTATCTCGTCATGAATGTCCGAGAACAGTACGCCGAGATTGCGGGTAAGCTGTGAGCGCACGACGGGGAGGTGGAAGGGATCGGCGCAGACGTCTGGGCCCAGAGTGTATTTGGCTTCAATGATCTGCACGAGTTCGTCAATGCAAGATGACTTATCAATAGCAGAAACCCACGTCGCTTGTCGCGTCGTCAAAACTGAGGACATCGTCCGAGGCCTTCCTGATGTCGTCAATGTGCTGGGGAGTACCAACAATCACGTTCCAGTGATGTAGCGAAGGGACTTTGAAAGGTCGGCCGTGAAACTTGGCCGTACATTTGACGTTCCACATTCGTGACTCTTCCTTCGATAGAACAAGAGTGAACTCACCTTGGTATACCCTTCCTTCACCAGCCTTCCTGCGTTGGTGTAAAATTCCAGGGATCCAGGCCAAGACCCAAGTAGCCCATACTGTCGCACAGAGGGTATGTGGTCAAGCTATATTTCACCAGTCAATCACTGGTTTCCTGCCACTTAGTGTAATGCACGCACCTTCGGATGCTGGGATGCTGTCCGAGAAACGAGGAAAACACACGCTGCTGCGACAAGAGCTAGGAGATAGTCGTCAAACATTACCCCAGGGATTGATCCTCGGCATGGTTCTCGCTGCGGACTTCAGTTTATCAACTCTATCATGAGACTGTCCCGTCGGAAGGAAGGCATTTTGGCGTGGTTAACTCGGAGAGAGTTTCCACATGACGATAGTCTTCCGAAGGAACCTGTGGGAACAAAAATGAATGTGGTACGACGAGAAACATAGTACGCACGGCCTAGAAAAGTAACGCGTTCGCGTATGGTCAGCATTCACCACGCAATGGTGGGCGCATGATGTTAAGAAGTGAAGTCCAGGGAATGGAACGTTATGCGAAATTAGCTCAAACGTAGAGCCTTCGTCTTGATGTCATGCAATGATCGCACGGAATATGTGACTCTTACCGCTTGAGAAACAAAGCACTCCGAAAGATGTACACTGGCGATAACCATTAGATTAACACCTACATCACATCGGAGATTTACGGCAGTTCAACAAACGGTAGCCTGTCAATGTCCAATCAACAAATATCTCTACTCGTCTATGAATGCCTGAATCCTCTCGGATATGAACTTGACATCATCCGGGTTGGCCCCTCCACCAGCTTGTGGTCGTTAGCTCCCGATAGCGCTGGTCAACTGGACGAGTACCACTCACCGACGTGTCCCCAGACAGTGTCTATAACATGCAGTCGGGCGTCTTTCAAATGTGTGACCTCAATTTTACTATCCTCAGGCTGTCACCAAAAAGTTAGCGAACAAGACTGGTAGAGAGTTTCTGTCATTGCGTGCTGACCGGGAAATATAGGTCGGTCTTAGAGGGCATAATGAGCGCTTTGGCCTTGATGTTCGTCAGCGCCTGCTCGTAGTTTCCGCCATCTCTGACAGTAGAGATGTCTCCGTTCTGCCAGGTGGTCAGGAGAGCGACCATGTCATTCGCGTCCCAATACTGAAGGTAGCGGCCTTCCCAACGTTCCCTAATGAACGCATGCAAGTCCGAGAATCTAGTCATCGTCAGCATATGGAAGTACTGGGATCCGGTCTGGATGATGGCTCACTCTCCGCCCATAAGATACTTGTGCTCTCTGAACCACTGTTAAGGGTATGATGGTGAGAAACCTGGACCGAGAGCACATGGCGTGCGAATGCTATACCGTCTGTCCGTAAGCCCATGCACAATAGACACGAGCGAATGCCCTGATTCCGTGCTGAGGCTGCGTCTTGTAATGGCCGTCTTCGTAGTCCTTCGAAGCCACCATGGCTGCTTTGGGGCCTTCTAAGAAGCTATGCAAGCGTCAGGATCAGCGGTCATCCCTACACATATTTGTGTGCTCACCACTTATTGTGGGGACTCGTTCGAGCCGAAGAGCATATGACAACAAATCTATCGACAAAGTCGGGGTATACCACTGGCCAGTGGTATGCCTGTACTGGTCAGGACACGACTTGAGCTATTGATTACAATGGTATGCTGACTTGTTGACCGCCCATAGAGAATCCGATGGCGCAAAAGACATGTTTGACACCAAGATGCTTTGTCAGAACTGCATACTGTGCGCGACTATAACTCTTAAGTCAGGCCAGGATACGCGAGCTGAAGAGGAAATTTCTTACATATTATCCTCGTAAGAAATGAGGGGAAAGTAGGCGCCGTTGTAGGGCGCAGGCTGAAAACGCATTACAGATCGTGATCATAAGATTCCTGGCTCCGGATTCACTTACTGTGTTAGATGGAGATGATGACTGTCTGTGGGGTCAAATGATGTTCATGACAGAGCCTACAAACCACGTACTTCTCCGTTGCAGAACAGAGCAAACGTGACAACGTAGTACTTTCGAGTATCGAGCACCTGGCAAGCTATGGGTGGAGGATTTTGGATTAGGAGGTGACACTGTACCTTTCCCTCTCCTACAAGGTAATCCTGGCCTGTATCGTAGGGATCTAAGCCAGCTTACACAATTGATGACAGGCGTTGTACTTACTTCCAAGCCTGAGCTTAGCTCCATAGCATGAAGGGAAGACAATACAGGGATTTCCTGGTGTCCCATATGTCTGATAAGCCGTTACAGCGTCAGGTAATAAACCTCCTGCAACCTTGAAGCGACCATGGTGATAGAACTTGACGTCTGCAGTCTGCATCGTGCACGGGGGAGCAGTGACGGGACGTCGACTAGCAAGTGTTAAACGAGACGGCTTCCGGAGCGCCGCACAATCAATCTTGCTCGCCAGGTTTGGACCGGCTGCCATGTGTAACTGAGACATGTGACGAAAGCTTGCTATCGCAACGCCTCTGGCTGGGGTAGAAGACACATGAACAGTTCGAGATTAGCCTTCGTGAGTAACGTATATGGTCGATCAGAGTATAGGCTGAGCGCTGAGATATTGCAGTGAATCGTGCGACCCACGGGTTACGACTGGGGGAATTGCCCCATGTTTTTGGCAAGTTTCCCCTGGAAACATCGACTCATGCCCCCAGTGTGCACTAACTCCCAAAACTCGCTACACGCTCTGGATACGTACAGTACCTGCGAAGAAGTCTGTGGCGAACAATCCTCACAGTAGTGGAGCTGGTCTGTGACCGGGGGACGAGGCCAGCAATGACGAACTGTGGATAGAGAAAGATTGACAGCCCCTTCAAGCGAGTCCCACGCAGTATTTGCCGTGCGCTGTGATTGGCGTTGTGATCTTATGGCTGTGCACAAACTCCACCAGCCCCCTAAGTATGCCCGCACCTATAAACGCCCATATCTTCACACCACGCGCTATCTTCAACTAATCCTATGTGCTCTCCTTGTCTTCCGTGGATACCACTCAATCTTCTCATCCGTTCCCTCATTTTACCGCTCAGTGACTGAAGTATTTTGTATTCGTATATTTTTAGCGCTATCAAGGCCGGTAAGCACATCTTCGTTGAGCGGCGGTCTTGAAGGCTACTACTATCCCGCAAAGATACGCATAGGAGACGAGCCTCACTGAGGCACTACTTGAAATCGGGCCAAAAATTGGACGACTTATGTACGCTGTGTGTAGGAGCTGGGTTACTGACCATACCTGTAGGGCTCGCGTTCGATGTCGCGGGATACTGCCTGACTGACCCTTGACAGAGTTCGACGCAATCAAACAAAGGCCTCCAACATTGGACGGATACTAGGACCGTCCGGGAACGCGTTTTGAAGAATTGTCTCCTTGATATATATGGAGCCGGTTCTCCAAAACACGATCCAGAACGTTATACATCTTTCAGCGATGCACCCCTCATATTTCTTCAGATTCATTCAAGATTCCTTCGCTACAACTTGATTTCCGACAATCCACCACCAAAGAACGATACCTAGCATAATTTTTGGGCGCTGCATTATTCAGGGAGTTTAGGCTAGATAAAGCCGAAATAGATATTACCTGTGAAGTAAATGGATAATAATGCAGGTCTAAATGCATTTTATACCACTAAGTTAGTCTAAGCTCTCCGACGGAGGTTCAAGGGGGTTTTAAGAACACTTTGGACCTAGCACAGAGAATAAAGACGCGGCGTTATTCAACGCTGCACTCCTTCAAGAACATATGAATACTGTAGAGGAGTAACGTTACAATATTACTCGTATTTTAAACTCGCGATGTCAAGCTGGCAGTCTTTTGGGCTTTTATGTCTGAGCTTCCAAGCCGCATGTCAGCATGAAAGGGGATGCGTGAGAACGTTTGTAGTGTCACCTGACAAGGTGGCTGAAACTGCTACAGCACGTCCCTCAAGGTTTCGGCAACTTCCGCGTGTCGCTCGCGGTAATCACACAGATCGGCCGCTAGCCGCCAACCTCGTCGACTTCAAGAAATGGGATGTACGTCGAACCCTTGCTCGCTCATCCTCTTCTTGCCACGTCTGGATTGCTAATGGTATGCGATAATAGCCAACAAGCCTCGTGGACTTCAGGCAGCGCGCAAGCTCCGCAACGACCGCCGCGTCAACCGCTGGGTACGCCTCTTCTAAATTGCTACTAAGAATCCGTTGGGTGTGCTTACTAGAGGGTATGATCTTGCGATACATGAAAATAGGCGGACAAATCGTACAAAAAGCGCGCCCTCGGCAACTTCTTCAAGACCTCGCCCACCGGAGGCTCCTCGCACGCTAAGGGCATTGTGCTCGAAAAGGTCGGCGTTGAGGCCAAGCAGCCCAACTCGGCTATCCGCAAGTGCGTCCGTGTTCAGCTCATCAAGAACGGCAAGAAGGTCACTGCTTTCGTGCCCGTGCGTATCATCGCTTGTGCACTGAGATAAAATGAAGCTAATGTATTGCGTTGTTTTGTTTTATAGAACGATGGTTGCCTGAACTTCGTCGATGAGAACGACGAAGTCCTCATCTCCGGTTTCGGTCGCCGCGGTAAGGCCAAGGGTGATATTCCAGGTGTGCGGTTCAAGGTCGTGAAGGTGTCGGGTGTTGGTCTCCTCGCTCTGTGGAAAGAGAAGAAGGTTCGTTCCCCCCGTTCGCTTCTTCCAGTTCCCCTGGCTAACTCATCATTGCAGGAGAAGCCCCGGTCATAAAAGGCCTGCGCCCCTTGTCTCCCTGCTACCTCATATGCGCCCGCCATTGCGTATGATCATGTCATTATTGTACTGCATGCAACCATCATGTGTTTTCACAATACAAAAGATTGAAAACATCGCATTCCGCCACTTGCATCACTTTCCACCATTTGGTTTGAGGTTCGTCAAAACTCGATGACGCGTCAAAATTGAAAGAAAAATCCATTCCGGTTTACTACGGCTTCGTCCTCTGCAGGCGCGAGTTGCTAATGCTATTATACTGAGTATATGTACCAGGAGGAACTACCGATCGAGAAAGTCTGCGACAAGAGAAACATGCGTGCATATGCGTAATCTCAACACTCGACAATTTTAAAGTGTGATGCCCCGTCCCTGGAGATAGCGTGCGAGGTCGTTGAAGAGTTCTACTTGCTCGTTGAGCGTGAGCCCGCTGACGACCTGCTGGAGGACGGAGCCCACAGTGATGTGGTGCTCCCGGATGAGGCTGCTGTAGTAGACGTAGGTGAAGACGCCCATCAGGAACCTGCATACAGTCAATGAGCTGTCCAACGAAATGAACAAGGGGATGAAATGACGTACTGGCAGTCCATGCGGTCGGTCATACCACCGTGTCCAGGGATGCTGTGCCCGAAGTCCTTGATGTTGAACGCGCGCTTGAAGCCCGAGGCGAAGAAGCCGCCAAAGGGCGCGACGAGCGAGGCGAAAATGGCGAACACGATGAGGTGCAGCTGGTACGGCACGTAGGGGATATGGGTGATCGAGCGGCCGAGCTGCATACACAGAAAATGTTCGTCAGATATTATTTTGGAATGAGCTCATAATTATGTATGCGACTTACCACCTGCGAGAGGAAAACGCGGAGGGGCGCCCAGATCTCCCACTCTTGCCAGACGAACACCGGGTTGGGCACGCACTTGACCGCGCTCCAGGCGGAGACGCCGAGATCGTGGACCGGGCAGATCATGTAGTCGAAGCGCATGAAGTACGTGCCCCACGCGAGGCTGAAGAGCAGCGTGCTCCAGAACGCGCCCACGAAGCCCTCGACGGTCTTCTTGGGCGAGAGCTTGATGAGCGGCGTGCGGCCGATGGTCATGCCCCACACGTACGCGAACACGTCGTTGCAGATGACGAGCGAGGCGGGGACGAAGAACCAGATGAGGCCCTCGAGGATGTTGTTCACGATGAAGTGCGAGGAGACGACGATGAGCAGAAGGGACATGTGCACCCAGCAGAAGAGGCCGAACTGCTGCTTGAGGTAGCCACGCTTGAGCGACATGACGAAGCCCATGAAGCCGATGGTATAGAGCGTGAAGCTGATGATGCGGTGGTTCATCGCGAAGGGGAGGAGCTGGCCGTCGACGAACACGACGTGCTGCGGAAGGTATTTTGTCAGCCTCTGATCGGAGATGTGAAATAGAATGCATTGAAAACTCACCTTGAAATAATAGATGATGCTCTCGCCATACAGGAAATAATTTGCGACAGCCCAGAAATACTAGCTGAGGGTCTTGCTCCACGGATCCCGCTTCGCCTTGGTCTCAACGATCTCGGTCGAGTCCGGTGCAACCCGCTTGAGCGAGAACAGCGCAGTCACCTCACGGTAGACAAGCGTCTGGCAAAGCATGACGAGGATGATCATATAAACGTGGCTTATAAGCATGAGGGCTGTAATGCACGAAAACCTCAGTCAGAAACTGCATCCAAAGTCATCCTATAAGTGGAAAAATACTCACTTATGAAACCACCGATCATAATGAACGTCCAGAGCGTCCGCGTCAGGATGTTCTGCCGCTTCTTCGTCTACGCTGACTTTTCGACCGGGGGGAGCTGCTGGGGTTTTTCTGAGTTTGCTTGTGTTGGCGCCTCCTTCTCTTTCCGCGGGGCGACCTCTGCAGCTGGGGGTACTCTCGAAAACAGTAAGAAAATTAATACGGCGTTCGTAATAGACGAAGTTCTCTGCCTACCTTCTGCAATCTTCTTCTCATCCTTCGCTGGTGTACTTCCGTTCATCTTCGGTGTCAACTGTGTGGGTACTGGAGTTGGGGCTGATGGGAGCGCCGCAATAGGCGCGGCCGTCTTGACAGGCTCGACCACTTTGACCTCCACATCCTCTGCCCCAGAAGTGACACCCGACGTCGTCAGCTCAATATCCGCATCCGACGCAGGCCCCTGCTCCCTCACAACTCTCGTCTTGATCCCGGCGCCGGAGGGAATTCGAGACCCAGCGACAGAGCCAGGAGCAGAGGCAGGCTCAGCCTCGGAGTCAATGCCCGTCGCAGGTGTCAGTGGGCGGGGCGAGTCCGTGCCACTGGCACCGCTGGCGAGGCCCTTGGACGACGTGCGCTCGGCCTTGCGTCGCTCGGTGCGCGCATGCTTGGCGGCTTTTTTGAGCTGGGATTGAGACAGTCTTGCGAGGGCTGCGTCACTACTGTTGCGACCAACAAAGAAGCTGGTTAATTTGGATGTTTACAATGGGGTCAAGGGTATAGAAATAGACATACGCAGGTTCCTCAGAGAGTGTCGTGGTCTCCTCGAGCTGCTGCTCATCCTCGCTCTCGACCTCGTTGATGGCAAGCGCAGCAAATTTAGAGACGGCGGTTCAGAACGTTGAAACTTCAAGTTGCGTTTTACTTGGCTCTTGTTCGCCGTGTTCCGTGTTCGTCAAGTGTTCGTTGAAAAGAAAGACCAGGGGACTAGGAAGAGCGGAGAGCACCTATTAGAAAAGGCGTCGTGAAGCGCGTGCGGAGGGTGTGCAGCAGGAAATGAAGGACCGTGGCTGGCAAGTAGCGCTAAACAACGCTTATGGGGTCTGCAGAAAAGCCCGTGAACCCGTGAATGGGACGTGACGCGGGTGGCAGTGACGTGATCAGAATCACCGTCTCCCGGCGTCCCTGTCTTTGGCCAGCCCCCGTCCGATGAGCCATTTACAAAAGTACTGTGGCGCACACCTCCCGCCATTCAGAACATGCGCCCTATTTTACTCCCTTGGGCTCCCTGCAACGACATCAACAACCAAGAACAATCGCTCAGGCGCCCAGTCAAATAGGGGCCATTGTTCACGACACAATGTGGTGCCCACCCATCTTTGCAAAGTAATGGTGTCGACCTCCCCTCCACCAGAACCTACAGTGCTCGAGGGAATGGCCCCTCGTGGTTTGATTAACTTGGCGCAGCTTGAAGCCGCACGATAGGTCTCATGAAGCCGTGCAGGATAACGTAGAAATATGTAATATCCCGTTTGACAACAAAAACAGACAGGTGGCAATATGGAACAAAAAAGCAGGGGCGGGTTTGGACTTTGAGCTTGCAATTGAGCTTAGACTATGAAACAATACATGTTAAGTTAGATAATGACTAAATATTAATTCATGTCCGCCCTAATATGGGCATCCATTGGAGCGAAAAAGCTCCGCCCAAAGGGAGCGCGTCTGCTTGCCACCGCGTGTTCACTAGGTTGGTTCCCTCCACCAGCACCCACAATGGCCGACAACTTGCTCGACTTAGCCAGCGCCAACAGCGAGACTCCTCGCAGTAATCCCGGGCTTCAAGAGGGCTATCATGCCGAGACCAGACGCCTCAAAGTCGCACAGGTCATGGCCAACTATTTGATGACTTGCTCTCCCGAAGCGTGGTTCAAGCAATACGCGCCTCATAGCCGTTGGAGCGACTCGGAGCTGGACGAACTTCTTCACGCTCTGAAGGAGAAGAACATCTGGAAGCCAGAGGGCTGGACAGAAATTCTGGCAGCTATGCAAGACCGGCAAACCGAGAACAATACCTACTCTCCTATCTCGAAGATCGCCGCCGCCGTCGCCGAACAAACCCAGAAGATGAAGGGGATCGCGCCCACCACGAAGATACAGAACGCCCCTCATGACTGGAGCGTTCCCGAAGTCCCCTCGCACAAATGGTTCCCCGACCTTCGCGGCTACCTCGCCAAGTCTCAAACGATTGACCCCCGCACCCGTGAATCCGATTCCACCAACCCGCAAACTTTTGCCAATGATTCCAGTGATATGTACCCGCTCGTGGAAGGGGAGCTTCAGGAACCCCAGCGCGTTGAACTCAGAAAGCCTCGGCCCAGCGCTCGACTCGACGGCAACTCGAAGGGAGCCAAGGAACAGGAGACGAAGATGAACCTCTCTGATGTCGTCGCCATTGGAGAGTTCAAACGCGAGAAGAAAACTGCTGATCAACGTGACGTGAGTACGTCTGCTAAATAATGTGCCGTCTCATTGACGCTATCGTGTAACTCCAGAATGAACTCAAAATATCTGGCGGAGCTACAGAACTCTTATATAATGATCCCTGCCGCCGTTTCGTCAACGGCTTCACCATTGAAGATAGAAATATGCGCATGTGGAGGTTCGAACGTAGCCACGTATGCTTTTCCCAGCCGTTTGATTTTCACAAGGTGAGTCGCAGCGACCATCCAATCTAAATGCAATTGACTCATTGAATTTAGAAAGCGAAGCTGTTCCTGCGGTTTCTCCTCTATATCATATTTTCATCGCCCAAAGACCTTGGCTTTGATCCCACCGTCCGTCGTTATTACAAGCCCATTACCGAAAACGCCGATTCCCCATCGCCCGAGACAGACGGTTGCCGATACGAAATTGCGTACCGGTATCAGATTGGCAGCCGGTTTTTCCTCACGGAAGGGCCTCCCATCTCCGAAGAGGCTGCATACTGGGTCGCTTCTAGAGCCACGCGAGTCTGGCGCGTCAGGGAAATGATCTTCCAGGACCGCAACAAGGAGCATATCTACACGCTCGGCGAATGCAAAGTCCTCAAGGATGCCTACCTCTTTGAAGATGCGGTCCTCGAGAGCGTAATCAGGGGGCAAATTATGGAGTCACTCAAACATGTCGACGGAGTAGATCTTGAGGACGCGGCGCGTCACTTCTTGGATTACGAACTCGACGAAGTCGTCAAGTTGCCCGACGGAGACAAGGAATGGAGGGAGGATGATCTGACCAGCGTCACTGACGCCAACGCGCGTGCCTACTATAGCTCTGCTCCTAATCCACCCCAGCCCTCCCTTGTCCAGGAATCTCAGCGTACATCTATGTCTCAGAAAGACTCAAACCAACCTGGCACTACCGACGCTTCACAACAACTACCTGATGGACAGAGTGGACGTTCCAAGTCTCACTGGGACGACTTGCGGTATCATCGTCGGAAGCATGTTCGAACCGTCATTGCGGAGGTGTGCCAAAACATGTACGAGCTGGATAATTGGGTTACGTTCCTGGAGTGCATGATTCACCTTATCAAAGGTGACCGTCTTATGCCAGTGTGCTTTTTGATATCTTTCTTACGAATGTTCCCAAGGTTTAAACTATATGCGCCAGGCAGGGTGGGTACATCGCGACATCAGCGGAGGAAACTGTCTCTGGCATCCGGGCACCACGCAAGGGAAACTTGCCGATCTGGAATACGCCCGCCCCTATAAACACAATTCCATGCTGATTCACGACCCGAAGACGGTGAGTGGCTCAATATCGGTTCACATTCTACCGGATCACGGCTCACCCAATGACTAGGGCACGCCTGCTTTCATGGCCGTGGAATATCAAGAACGACGATATATGTTCCGACCACGTCAGAACTTCCGGACAGTGCTTGATGATGATGACGTTTTCCTGTCTCAGCCTCATATCTGGAATTTACCGTTCGCCTATAACTTCTACCATGACCTGGAATCGATCCTTTGGCTTTACGTCTGGATGGCTCATTACCGTCCTCCGTCTCCTTGCGTACCTCCTGCGCTGGTCACGTCGGTCTCGCTCACTCTCAGGACAGAAGGAAACTATTTCTTTGTCTGCGGAACAGGTGGTAACCAAAAGCGCTCGGGTGGTATCTCCGATGGCCGGCTGCTTTCCCGTGATGTGGGACGAGTCTACGCGGGAGCTCGTAGCGCCTATATGCTTAAAGTTTTTTCATTTGTTCACCCTCTCGGGTCAGCCTATACAGCGCTTCAATCTTCTCTGCCCGATGATACGCTTCCCTCCGGTAATCCCATTTGGATGGACACCCACTTCGGCTCCGCATTATACGACGAGTTCTGTGATCATGTCACCGAGGTGCTGGAAAAGGTGAAGCAGCATCCAGATATCCATCGCATGGTATCGATCAGCAGCAGATGGGAGAAAACGGGGCGGCCCCTTACCATTACCCAGGAGTCGGACAGCTCCAGTGCACATGCAAACAAGAAGGCCAGGCTATCTACGGACCAGTAGCTAGCACTTCACTCTAAATTTATGTGTATGGTTCCTTTTCGAGTCTGGTCAAGTTATCTCCTGTTTACACAATATCCGTCTCGTGTATAATCCCAACAAGGAAGAAACCATTCCCGTTGAATTCGCTTTTTCATCGGGTTTAAAATAAAATTTACTCTAGTCTAATCGCGACCGTGCCCTGCCACATTCGGCGGACAGGTCCGCACGCCGCGCGTGCGCGACCGCGGTCAGCCTCGTCCTGTCTCGACGTCCGCACGCGCACCGCGGATGCGCGTCCGTCGAGTTCTCGCCCGCTGGCGAATTTCCGTTGATGCTCCCTGGATGACGCTTCACCGGGGAGCATCTCAGTCGCTGCCCGCGGCGCAACTCCTATCACCCTCAAGAAAGGGGCCCCATGCGAGGGTTAAAAAACCGAGGGGCAAGACGTGGTCGTGCTGCCGCTCGCTCACTTCCGCGTCTTGCCAGGTAAGTGACACACGACGTAGCCCCAGTCTAGCTACGTGCTACTTACACGCTTTGTATTATGAACACTGTATTCATCATGTACCGCAGCCTATGTCCATCCTGCATGTCAATACATAATTCGCGTCGGGCTGCTGCTCTCGCGGCAGCCGCGACAAGGTCTATTCAACTTGTCCGCACCGTCTGGACGGCGCGGGTGCATGTCAGCGATTGGCCCAGTATTAAAGCTCACTTCCGTCTGACACTTCTCCTTATATCTTGATCAAGTGGGTCTTTTCGGTATCTCCTAGCCAGCCCAGAAAGACCAATAAGCGCTCAGCCAAATAGGGGCTGCCACGCAATATATATTTGTGCTGTGTGCTGCCACTGCCTATCTCCGCTTTCACCAGAATCAGCAGTGGCCGGCAGCAATATGGCTCCTCCCAGCCTGTCCAAGTTGGAAAAGGGGGCTAATGGGGCTCTTCTCAATGACACTGTACATCCGCTTGGCTACAACACCGACTCAGGACGCCTCAGAGTTGCACAGAGACGGCTACATCACGACACGGGCAGAGGAAACTGTCTCTGGTATCCAGACGTCAAACAGGTGAAAGGCACCGCAAAGCATAGTCGCCCTTATGAACATGACTGCAAGCACACTCATGGCACGGGGACGGTGAGTACCCAGGCGTTAGTGTGCAATGTACGGGAATACGGCTTACCAATTAATTGGCTAGAGCACACCTGCCTTCATGGCTGTGGAATATCAAAAGCGGCTCTACCTGTTCCCATCTCGGTCTAAATCCCGTTCCCTGACTCGAAATAAAGGTCCCCAATTCACTTGTCACTTCTACCACGATCTAGAATCTCTCTTTTGGCTTTACGTCTGGGTGGCACATTTCCGTCCCCCGTCCTGCTGTATACCTCGCGAGGAGATCACATCGATCTCGTTCGATCTGAGGGTAGCAGGAAACCTACTTTTCAACTGCGGAGTCAAAGGCAACGACGCCCGCCTATTTGCCTTGATCCTTGCCAACAGCTTTTACGATCGTTTGCTCTCCAGTGCATTGCAGCAGGTCTATACCGATGCTCAATGCGTCGCCATACTTAACGGGTTCCTATTTATTGAGTCTCTCGCATTAGCCTATGAAACGCTTCAATCATCTCCGCCTGACAAAGTGCTCCCCTCGACAAAGTGCTCCCCTCGGGTACTCCCGTCTGGAAGGACACGCATTTCCCCTCCGTACCATACGATGATCTCGCCCAATGGATCGGCGACATAGCGTCGGAGGTGAACAAGCGTCTCAGCCTCTTTTCCATGACGTTAATCAGCAGCAAATGGCAGAACACGGGCCGCCCCCGACTGGAGGACCCGGATAGCAGTAGTGCGCAAGAACAAAACAAGAGGGTGAAGTTATCCACGTAATGTTCCTTTTTACTACGATGGTCCGCGTATCATGCCTTCGTACATGGAACGCTGATAGTGTGACAAATATGCTCACTGTCTTCCGGTTTGTTCAAACCGTCGCATCGGCCTAAGAAGCGCCCGAGTATTGGGAGCGCACACAGTTTAGTCCCAAATTTACGAAGATTTCAGTATCCGGATCAATGACATAGCTAAAGAACTAAGTTTGCGTCCAGAAAGCCTCGCCATCAAACCTGTCAGCCAGTCCCTTGTTTTCGAGGACGTACTGTAGCTGGCCTATGCGAGTTCCATGTCGGTGCGAACGAGTGCGTGAATGTGGCATCAAATTGCACCCTCTATCACTATGCTCTATTCTACAAGCCTAGTTAACAACACCGCGTAACCCACACCCATAAATTAGATACTAGTATTAATAGTGGCCATGCTTATGTACTGATTGACAATGATTCGTGTGTAGATAACAATGTTGTGTTGCGCATTGACTTCGTCGTCATAACGTGGATGACCAACTGCCCTATGTCATACTGTATGTGTGCATCTATAATTCAGACATGAGGGGCTCCGAGCAACGAACCCATCCTTGTATGCAGCAGATAAATCAACCCTGGCCTCATCAGCAACTTCCATTAGCATCCGCCCCCTATACCACCAGCAAACCTCCAGCGCGTGACCGAGTTCCGAGGCGTATTCGCCACCGGGCATACATAGTGGGTTTCGGACCCATAAAACCAGGGGTATTGCAATGGGGGATGGTGGATGGGGGCGACAAAGGACCGAGAGATCGAGACGGACGAGCTCAGAACTTCCAGTCGTCGTCAGCCTCCATCGCCCACGGGACTGAGTACAGAACATATCATCAGCGACCATGCCTTCCATAAAAGGAAAGTGCGAAAACGGAAAACAGAAAAAGCAAAAACAAAGAAACAACGAAAAAAGACAAGGGGAAAAGGCAAGAAACAAAGACTCACACTTCGTCAGCAGCGTCTTCGAGAAGATCTTCTCAATCGGCACCTCGTGCGTCTTGCACCACGCGGCCGTAATCCTCGGATCCAAATAATTAATCTTACTCGTCCCCAGCGCAACCTCCTTGCCCGCCTCGCGGTCGTCCATCTGCAGCTTAAACGTCTTGATCTTCTCTCCCAGCTTCTGCACCGCCTCCTCGAGCTTCTCGGGGGGCCGATCGCGCTTCAAGCTCGCCTTCTTCGTCCCTCGCTCCTTGGCGAGCCGCTTGAACTCGTCCTTGATGCTGTCGACGCGCTCCTTGAGCACGCTGTCCTTCTGCGCTGTGGAGCCCTCCTCAACGAGCTTCTCGTTCTCCTTCGCGAATTTCTTCTCGGCCTTTTTCGATCTCTTTCGCCTTGAGTGAGT